ATATATATATATAGGGGTGGGGGGATTTTAATTTAGAAGGGCACAAATACTTCTCCTCACACATCTTAGAATGATTTTTAAATTTAAATACAACGTTATCTTTTTTTTTTTTACTACTACGATAATATACTTAATTTGTAAGAACTTATTTTAATCTCTAATCGTAATTGATACATCCTCAAAAAATTATTTTAATCATACATGAATCTCAGAGCTTTTCAAATAATAAAATTTCTTGATTCAAATTTGAGATTATCCTTGGCCCTGATTCCAGCAAATTTATAGTCAAACTGACTGTCTTGACAAAACGGGCCCAATGAAGCCAAAATTTGTTCGGTCTGAGTCCAATGAGGCCCATATCAAGTCGTTTAATCATAATTGGAGGATTTGGATGGATAATCAAATGGTCAAATTCCAAATCTGACAAGCTTATAATCAAATCGAGAGTTTGGTAATTCTGGCATCATTAAGGCATACAAGTGCTCATATAACACCATCCGATCAAAGGGATAGCTCTGGGTTGTGGGATCGAGTGGTCTGTATTCATGCAGCATTTTACGGAGTTGTCGCTCCCAAAATTTATAAATAATGCCTCACTCCATGAAAGAGAACTTAGGACCTGGACTTGGAGGATAAAGTTGGAGTAGCTCAAAGCTCTTGAGGGTTTTTGAACTCCACCTCTTTTGGACCACCATCTTGGAGTCATGGCCAATGCTGGATCATTGTGGTCAAGCCAATGCCACTGTCAGATCACCACCATCGAGTCGTCATCGTCGCCAAACCATCAAATTTCGACCATTGCAAAAGAGCTCACCACCATCAAACCACCACTAAATTGTTGTTGTCGAGCTCCACCGCCATTTGATTGTTGCCATTGAGTTGAACCACCGCTATTGAGCTCAACTATCACTGCATAGTCATTAGACTGCCACCATCAAGCTCTGTCACTATCGAACTACCATCATCCAACTCCACCACCACCGCCACTATCAAACTACCATCATCCAGCTCCACCACCACCGCCATCAAGCTCCATCACTATCGAACTACCATCATCCAGCTCCACCACCGCCACCAAGCTCCATTACTGTTGGACTACCTTTGTCCAACTCCACCACCATTGTCGTCAAACTCAATCATTGTCGAGTCGCCTCCATCAAGCTCCACCATCTTCAAACTATCATTCAAGCTGCACCGTTGTTGTATTGTCGACATGGAGTTCCACCGTTAGCAAATTTCCACTGTTAAGCTCCATTGTCGTCGAACTACCATCACTACAGCTGTCGTCAGACCACTGCCTTCAAGACGTGACCATTTCACTGACGTATTATGCCACTCCCCTAAAGGAAGTCACATCACTTGTGTAATCTTTCTCTTGGCCAGTTAAGAGACAACAAAGTCTTGTAACTTACATTGACATAGTTGAATCATTTTAATTGAACTAGACCCAATGATTTTTCCCTGTTGAATTTTTCACATTAAAACTCATGTTGTCTCCTCTATCAATTTATTTTCATCAATATGTGTGTTGGATCTTCGTGCAACTTTAAGACATTAATGCATCACTTTATAGTCCTAAATTATTATCAAGCAATAGTTTAGTGTCGTCTGCGGGAACGATAATCCCACCATCCAAAAACATATAAAACTTATGAAATGGCCAATAGATGCAATAATTGTAACTACACGGATCCCATTCTAACACCTGTCACTCTTAGGGACAATCACGGAGCTAGGGATGTGAAGCATCTGCTTCTTCCATCCACGAAAGGTGTTATACAGCTAGTGAAGGAGCCATAGGCCCATCCTTAGACGACTAAGTGTGCAGAATGGAGGGGTCTCAACATGAGATTATTCAGCTCATATGTGAGGGTCGACAGTTAATGCCAACATAGCCAAACATGGTCTCTTGCCACAAGGTCAATAATTTGTTGAGAATCCCTTGCTCAAGAATAGTTGTATTAGGCATTTTCCCTGTTATGGTGTGATTCCTCCTCTGACAGGTCATGACACTTATCTACTCGTTACTGTGAATTCCACTCACCCATTATGTGAAGCTAGACTGACCGATAAGCTCACAAAAAAACTTGGTTAAGCCACGCCTTATTAACTCTTACGACAGGGTATCTGATTCATACGAACAAATCTATCATTATCAAATCATCATACACATCCAATAGGCTTTTGATATGCTTCTTAGTCAAGTATTTTCTGTCACTCTCAAATGTCAGGATCACATGTGGTTCCACTCCCTCCTAGGATGGACTCTCCACACCTTCAATGAACTTATCAGACTCTTTGTGGAGAAATTCATAGTAAACAGAAGGATTTTCAAAGAATCATCTCATCTTTCAATAATTTATCAAAATGAGAGAATTATTTAAGGAATACTTCTGATGATTCTATGAATGGATACTAACTTACTGAGAAGAGTTTTTCTTAGAGGGGTTCGCCCAAATCCTTCCACTCATCCTTAAAGTGGGAGACAATCCACTCTCGTATTGATCTGATTAACTGTGTTGAAGCACAAATTGCTGAAAATAATGTCATTAATGCACATAAGAAACAATTTGATCGATTATGGGACAAGCAAAAGAAAAAAGCGTGATGATGTTAGTGAGGCCTCACAATGGAAGAAGTTTGAGCTGTAGAGGAGCCTCAATCTTCCTCCATAACCTTCAAACTAGCGACTTGAGCGTCAATTAGAGAATAAGTACATGCAAACATCCTGAGCATAATTCACGTCAATATCGGCCTCTTAACACCACCACTGTCACTTGATCATCATCACTCAACCACAACCATCATCACAAGACTACTATTGTTGCGCCGTTGTTATGCAGAAGCATTATTATCAGGTCACTATAGTGTCAGATTATTATCATTGAGCCACTGCTGCACTTGCGGCATACCATCACCCCCAAACCATTATCACCCAGCCAATGTTAATGGATCCCACTACAATCATTTTATTATCTTCATCTAACAAAAGGCATTGATGCCTCAACCAACTCCATTGAAGGATTAGTCTACCCATCTGATGTCACCACCAGACCATTATCACATAGTTGACGCCATAAGACCACACTTGTTATGACTGGACCGCCATTACTTTGACGACATCATAGCTATCGTTGTCATCGCAAGACCACTATCATCTTTGTCGGGTCATTATCTCATGGTCATCACTGTTGTTAGACTACCTTCCCTTATCAACCACAACATTTTTCCACTGTTGTTGAGCCACCATTGTTTAGTTGAACACTGTCAATGGGGTCCTCATGCAGCAGCACCATCGTCGGGTTGATGCTGGACAATATCACTTAGCTGCCACCACGTCTTAACTCCATCATCAGGTTGCAACCATGCCATACACTATCACCCGGCCGCCTCCACAAAGTTAAGCACTATCGTCAACATCCCCCATTTCGCATCATTGTCATCCAACTACTACCATCAAACACTGTCGACCAGCTGCCTTTGTTATTATGGCACACTTTTGCTACCACTGAATCATCATAGGTGCTTAGACTAATTTTTTCAGGTCGTCGCCTGCGTCCGACTGGCACCACAGCTATCATTGTCAAATTATTTATGTTGGTTTGCCATCATCATTGAATCGTCGTATTCACATGACCACTATTGTCGGGTCGTCACCATAGTACCAAAAACATTATAGTTGAATTGTTGTTGTCATTGTGCTGCAACATTGTCGAGCTACTGTCATGATGCACTAATGACATTGAACCACCACTATAATGAACCATTAAAGTTGGTATGTTGCCATGACACACCACTATCAAGCCACTATTGTGATGGCCTATTGTTGTCAAGTTGCCACTGTATTGGAAAAATAATGTTGGGTCGCAATAACTTCAGGTATTATCACCTGGTCGCTACTATGCTACACTATTGTTGATGCACTGTTCTCATTAGACCACCACTATGCTGGACCATTGTCGTCGGGTTGTTGCATGATGGGCATCCATCAAGCCAATGTCATGCTAGTCCACTGTCATTGGGTTGTCGCTACTGGAGCACTAATGGCAAGTCATCATATAGTCAATGCATTATCATCGGGCTACCACTATGCTACACCATCATTGGGGTGTCGCTGTACTGGAGCATTAATGTTCGTAGCCATAATGTCATACCATTATCACCAGACCACCATCACCGTGTCGGGCCACCATTATTGGGTTTTTGTTGTTATGTCGAATCACCTAAGCATAATAGCTAACGTTGTTGTGGTACATCATCACCATCATCATCGCCACTATCATCAGGCAGCCACTATGTTGCACCATCATCGGGTTGCTGCCATGATGCATCAGCATCATCAAAGAACACTAGGTTGGACCATTATCGTCGAGCTACATCCTTGACTCACCTCCATTTAGCCCAAGATTTTGAAAACCTTAACAGACATAGAACCAGTAAAGTGGGAGGTTCAAGGTCCAAAGGTTGAACCGGATGTTGAACTAGTTGGTTGAACCGGGTGATGTCAGAAATATTAAAAACATTAAAGATAGCTTAAATGGTGTAATAATGTCATAGTATATGTAGTGGATTACAACTTTCAAACTTCGCCTCTTAACCCCATCCACATTTAGACTTAAAAAAGTTGGTCGTCATTGTATTATTACAAAGGTCCTCAAAGTTAAAAACTGAAGCAAGGATGCAAACACTTAAATTAATAGAATTTTTTTAAAAAAGATTATTCAATTAAAATTGCTTTTAACATATGTTATGCTAAATTGTCCTCAAAACACCCAAAATGAACCAATTTTTATGTTTCTTATTTCTATTTTTTGTTATTGTAAGGGCTTCTCTACGAACGGAATAATTCCTTAGAATCGGAGCCAGCTTGATGGCTCAAATTGGTTCTAAGCATTCTATGTGGGATAGGTTTCTTATGCCAATCGGAATCGGACTTGTGGCCATCACGGCCAAACCGGCTGGTTCGACTTTTTAAACCTCGATTGAGTTGCTGATGTGTTGAACCACTGTCATCGGGCTACTGATGTACTTGAGCATTAAGGTCAGATCGCCAAAGTATCAAACCATCATCATTGGGTCATCGTGGTTGTTGGGATAACATGAATCAGTTATTGTTGCTTCTGGTCTCCGTCATTGTTGCTCTATTGTCATTGTTGGGTCAATATTATGGAAAAAGTGGTGAGAAAAAAGAAAACAATATGGAAAACATCTAATTTTTAAAGTAAATATACTTTTTCTTTTAAAGATAAGATCAAAGAGGAAAAATCCTATTTGTTGGTGTAATATCTTGAAGTTTAAATCCATATATGATTTTCCTTTAAAAATAGCCAAAAAAGGAAAAAAAAATCTTTAAAAAAAAACATAAAATATCAATACTTTCCAAAACCTAGCCCCATGGTGAGCATGTGCCACCCGCACACGAACAAGCGTGCTCGTGTGTAATTGGCTCACCCGCGAGCTACGTGCATCCTGCGTGCTTTGCGCACTCTGCAAGTACACTGCCCACCCCGTACACCCCAGCTACCACCATTGAGCACTACCACTATTGGATCACCAGTGTCCAGGTCGTCTTCGTCACCCTCCACCACCGTCTAACAGGTGTCATCGAGCTCCACCGCCACCGAACCATCTTGGTCAAGTTCCACCACCGCCAGATGGTCGTCGTAGAGCTCCACTATTGCCAGACCGTCGATCAAACTCCATCATGGTTGAATCGTCGTCGAGTTCCACCATTATCAGACTGTAATCATTAAGTTATGCCACCGTTCAACCTCCACCACCATCGACTCATAATTGTCAAGCTCCATCACCACCAGACCACCGACGTCGAGTTCCATCGTCACTGAACAGAAGGTCTAACTCCACCACCGTCAGACATCCATTGTTGAATTCCACAACCTATGGACCACCGCCATCAAGCTCCACCATTGTCAGACCATCATTCAAGCTCTACCGCCAACTAACGTTGGTCAAGCTCTACCACCTCTGGAAGTTGGTCCAGCTCTACCACCATCAGATAGCCACCATTGAGCTCCACCACTGTCAAACCGTCGTCGTCTAGCTCCACCACTGTCGGACCCCAGTCATTCTGCTCCACCAACGTCGAATTGCCACTGTCGAGCTCCACCGCCACCAGACACCACTAATTATCAAAAAAACTACTGTTGTGAATTTATAGTGATCAAAACTACAACTTCATATTCTCTTGTTCAAGAGAAGAGTGGACTTGTGCACTCATCATTCATAGTGGATTATTTCAACTGGGTTAGGCCTTATGATTTTTTTTCCCATTTATGGTGTTTTTCACATAGAAATCAAGATGTCTCATCCTATTTACTTCTCTTTAATTACTTGAGTTTAAGCTGGATTTTTATGTAACGCTATGATGCTAACAAATCATTATGTCTCCGCGGACCTTCGAACATGCATCAATACTATTTTATTGTTTAAATCACATTAGTATATAAATAAAAATATGTTTTTTTTTTCATTTTAAAGGCCATTACATACATACCCCACAATTCTTATACATTTACATATCCAACCCATAAACCTTAATATTCATATACTTTAATATTTACATCAAACAAGATTTACTCAAATATTTAATATCAAATCAAAAATATAACTTTTACTAATTTTTAAAAAGTCAAATACACCTTTTTTTTATGCATGATTTTATAGCACCAAGGTACTATAAAACCATGCAAATTCATAAGAATTGTGTCTTACCTACATGAATTTCCCTTCATCTTAAATAAGTTAATAATAGTGGCATTTTGGATAATATTTAGAGACTTGAGTGATGCAAGCAAATAAAAAAATTTGAGTGGTAATCGTATAAATATATAATAATATTAACTTATGTATCTATATCTCTAGTTGTTATGATGCCATCAAATGTCATATACAAAGGGCCATCTCAGCAAGATAATACAATATGGATATCACCCAATCTCCATCAAGTTATCATTTTTATACCACTTTTGTTAGTTTGAAACTGAGAGATTAAAATTGAATCAAATAGGTCAATAATTAGTCTTTTTTAATCCAAAAATTTAAATAACATTTATGTAAATGCCCCAAAGTTATATTTTTGATGTGATATAAAATATTTGAGGGCTGTAGACGTAAGAAAAAATAAAGTTCAGGTGTTAGACATGTAAATACAAAAGAATTGGGCAGTATGTACGTAAATACCCCAAATATTAAATACATTTATCACTGATACGACATCAATAAATTTTCATCATCTGACACAAATCTCGAGACATTGCATGAATATAAGGCAATTCTTGAGCAAGAAATGATCAACTTCGATTAAAAACCATCCAAAATTATGATTTTAACAAACTTACGGCCAAATAGACCGGCTCGACTAGATGGATCCAACGATACCAAAATTGGTCAAATTCGAGTCAAATCAGACCCAGATCAAGACGTTGAATCACTTTTGAAAGTTTTCAGTGCATAACTATAAAATCAAACATATTCCAAATATGACAAGCTCATAGCCAAATCAAACATTTCTACAAGATGAATCTAACGACCCTAAAATCATTTAATTTTGATATCATTAATATACTTATATATTAACAGAACATTGTCATAGCAAGGGAACCTCCCCAGGTCATCTGATCACATTGGTTTAGATTTATTCATTATTTGCAATATGAACTCCATAAATAAGGTCATGTCCCCTCTTGAGAGGGGGCCTAAATCTTGAACCAAAAGAAGATTAAAACTTGAAGGACTTAAAGTTCAACATCATTGTTGCACTGAAGATCCGTTGAATACCTCCTACTCCTACAATTAGCCACTATCAAATACCACCTGCCTGCCGCCCCCTACTCCTTATATAACGAATCTGCGTGTGAAGTCAAGACCGACGACGCAGAGTCACAAAGCATCCTGCAAAGAAACGTATCATCCTGAACATGTCAACCTCAAAGTCTATGTGTTGAATCTCCAACTACTCTCAATTGTGATCGCTCTTTATTATGGGGAAATGAATTTTTCAGCGTAAAACCATTGTAACTGAATAAACTATGTAGTCATTTCTTGTATGTGAGTTAACTAATTGTAGATATAATTACCAACTCATAATGAAACATTTCTTTGCTAATTTTATACATAAAAAAATTCAATATTTCAACCATTCATTTTTATCGCCTGAATGTGCGTTGATTACACGTTCAACACCAACGACAATTTATTACTTTAAAGTCATGAATTCTCTAACACTCGTCAAACACATCATCAAATACTTTTCTACAAAAGTTCAAAAAACATATCTTATATTTTAATGTTATTCTAATCAAAATATCTGAGTATAATAAGAGTTGAACAAAGCATTTGGCTATACTAGATCCACTCCAAAGATTCTTTGAACTCCAATGCAGCCAAAACTTATAACAAAGGAAATTATAGATTATAAATTAAGAAGTTTGTTCACTCCTTACTCTTAAATGCTTCCATTATTCATCAAGCATACTTACATGGAACACTTCAATCATACATGTTCCTTCATAATTCAAAAACATCAAATCAATCAATATCAATTCATAAAAAAAAATCAAATTAAAAATAAACTAAACAAAAAACAATCAGAAGTAAATTTTAAATGACTTTTACTAATGCATATCACTTAAAAGATTAAGAGTCCGTTTGGGGCAGCTTATTTGGTGCGGTGTCGTTTTGAAACGCACCTGAGCTGTTTGGGTAAACTGTGTTTTGACAGGTTATGCGTTTTCAAAACACTAAAAACAGCATTTTCACACCGCACCTGTCTAGGTGCGGTGGCAGCTTTCTGGCTGCGGTTTGACTTTTCCAAAACAATAAAAAATTGTAATAAATACCGCACCTAGCTTATTAGCAGATTATTTTTAATCAATTTATCAGCAGATTATTCAATAAGCTGCAGCTGCCCCAAACAAACCCTAAAGCAAGCCATCTTAGAGTGCAATTAAAGTAAACAAATTTGGAGCATGCATTGATTTACCAATCAATCCCTAAATCAGAAAAAAAATATTATGTCAGTTAAGTAACACGGTAGAATTGTAATTTATAATTTCAACAGGACTGGAAAAAAAAAAAGAGATACAGGTTTTAGTCTTACAACTCAATTCAAGAGGAAGCATGACATGAAAACAAACCAAACCAAACCGAACTCCAAAATTTCTGACAGATGAGGAATGATTCAACAGATGTAAACTACAATAAACCAAAGACATCATCATCCCCTCTCGTCATTACAGATCCTGCACGCTCAAACCTGAGTAAAATAAGAGAATTAAAATCATAAAATGTTTATTTGGCATGAATAATAAAACTATATAATAATCTGTGGTTCTCTGAACTCACAAAATAAAATCTAAGAAAAAGGACAATGAACATTTACATATACCAATAAATTATTATCTATTTGTATATCTAAAACTTGAAACTTCAATTTTTACAGTTATTATCATCCCCTCTCATCATGCTGCCCTACCTATGCATGAAAAAGGCGTATTTCAGTTTTTAAAAAGTTAAAATAGTGACTCTTGATGTGATATGGAAGATTGGATGCATAAAAATGCAAAAAGTGAAGTTTTGGTGGCAAGACTTCATGTAAAATATAACACCCAAAAAGATATTCCCAACCTAGTTAATTAAGAAAAAATATTCCACGGGGACACCGGAAGTAAAATTTGTGTCTGGAGTCCAGTAAACATGTGTCATGTTGCAAGTGAGCCACACCCCTCTAAAAAACATACCCAACCAATGTATTGCAGTAGGGCGCACTTGCCTGGACTCCGGACGCAAATTTGTGTCTGCTGTCCTGATGGAAGAATCTCTCATTAATTAGGTGTAACTAAGCCGGGTAAGCTTGGGCTCAGCTTGACAAACGGTTGGTGAGCATATTTCGACGATCTCATGAGCCAAAATTGAGTTGGCAGATCCTTTACAGTTTTTACCATCTAATTTCTTTTTTTTTAATTTTAAAAGTTTTTGAATGAGTCGAATCAAACTCATTCAATTGACCTCGAGTTTGAGCCACTCATGACTCAACTGTTTACACTGGGAGTGTAGTATCAAGATCGAAGGTTAATTCAGATACAACACAGAATTGGACAGACCAAAATATGAAACAAGTTAGAAAGTCAAACCCGAACCCAACCCACCTTCACCCGATTGACCTAACGAGTCAATTTGATTTGCCGGGTCAACTTCACGTTAGCATATGAACCCGAACCTAACCCAAAAAATTAAAAGGAGTGGATGATGTTCTACCCTGATGCCAACAGGAGCGGTGACAAGGTAGAGAAACAACATAGCTTTCAGAAAAGAAAAAGGCGCTACAGAATAAATGGTGGAGCCAGGAGTTGAAATGAAAGAGCAAAGAGCATATCACAGGTTACAGGTGGATTAATGGGACAATATTTTCATAATATAAACATGGTTTTGAAAACAATTTCGTCTTTTAGTTGTTGAATTATTATTTTTTAAATATCAACATTTATTATAACGTATAAATATGGCGAAAATTAATAATAAAAATAATTTCATACAATGGATGAAAATTTTAAACTAACAATAAGAATAAAAGCACGTACTAATCTAATTCTAAATATTATTATTTTAATTTTTTTTATTAAATATTTAAGTTATAAAACTAAGTCTTAAATTTAATTTTATATAAAATCACATTTAGTGGCTATATTTAAATTTATATAATCTTCTAAAAATGATTATCTCAAGGCATAAACACGTATTACTTTAAATCAGATTCTGCATATTCATAAATTATTTGTAAGAAAAAGATAGTCACAAAATACAAATTAAATAATGCACTCCTTTTTAATTCTTATATAGCATATATTTTCTGGAATTACACCATAATAATAATAATAATATTTTTCTTTAATGCATTGCATGAAGAAGTTTTATAGTAAGGAATATATGGATGGATGGCACATGTAAAAAGCATAAAATAATAGGATATCATTTGAATCTACCTAATAGAATATTAATTCACAATTAAGCAATTAACAAAAATTTTTATTTTTTCAAACAATTCATAAAAGTGGAATAGACAAATGTAAAAAACTATCGTAAAACACAATGATAGCAATAACCATATGCATGAAAACATGTATTACACTTTTAAGAAAAATAGTGACTGTGGACTCTTTGATGTAATGTTAAAAGTTTGAATGGATTGCATGTAAATATGAAAGTTAAGGTGTTAGATATGCAAATACATAAAAAATATGTGATATGTAATGCCCCCCCAAAAAAAAACTATCGCTAGAAATTACCTGGAGGAAGAGATTGCTTGAGCTTATCAGCCTTCTCCGAGTCAAACACAGAGAGAGTGTAAAGATACCTCGAGCACCTGACCTTGAACTTCACAACACCCTTGCTTCTCTTGATCTTCACAGAACGAGCATCCTTTCTTCTAGCTGTGAGAAGGAAATCCTTGATCTCATTGATCTGCTTCGGCTGCATAAAAACAGAAATATTAATAATAAAAAGGTAGTAATTAATTCTAAATGGTTTGAAAATCTAATCCATTTACTGAACAGGCAAAGTCAAATAAAAACATTCAAAAGAAAAAAAATCAATGTTATATAAACATATATGATACAATTGATGCTTATTTTTCCAATATTTTAGATTATATTTCATCTAAATTTAAGTTGAAGATTCTACAATATTTATATTAAATGAGAATACTGTAGAATATTTAATTAGAAAGAATCTCAAATATATTTTTCTAGAAAGAGATGTAAAAGTTTTGAAATTTATAGATTTAATCTCTCATGTCTAAAAATAGGCATAACTATGTTGTTATATAAGCTGAAAACTACTAGTAAAGTTCGGTAATAAAATTTTGTCTGTTCTCTTCCAAAATTTCCAACATTCAGTATCAGAGCTTCATTCGTTTATTTGTTAGGCGTTGTACAATTTCAAACTATCTACATTGGCGACTTCAACCGCTCATCTGTCTTAATTTCAATTTTCAATGCAGAAAATTATAATTTTTTATCTATCAAAATGAATGTGGAGTGAGAATATTATGAAAAATGTTTTTCAATATAAAACAAATTTGCAATCTCATAAGTCAAAAGGTGGGAAAAATTCACAAGAATTTAAAATTAAAAATAATAAAAGAGAATGTGACAAATATTCTCCATGCAAAATTCACGAAAGAAAAAGGCACTTAGAGAAAGGTTGTTGGTTTAAAAAAAATAGTAGGGCCAAAATTGTAAGAAATTTGGACACACACAAAATATTTGTGAATTAAAAAAGTGCTAATTTCTCAAAAGAGAAAGATGAATATAAAAAACTTGTACATGCTTGTCAAATTGTACTAGAAGAGAAATACACATGATATATAGATAATGATTGTAGTAACCACATGACAAAAAATGAAAAACAAAACATACAGTTTTGAAAAAATCAAGACAAAAGTCAAATAGAAAATGGTGATTTCATAGAGGCAACAAAAATAGGCACTAGAGCCATTAACACGAGAAAAGGAAAGGCATATATCAATGATGTAATATTAGTCCCAAACATAGATCAAAATCTACTCAGCGTGATAATTGAAAAATGATACTATTTGACTTTTAAGAGAAATGCTTGCATAATATATGATAAGCAACATAAATCCCTTAAAATTGCAAAGATCAAGATGAAAGAAAATATGTGCTTAAATAATATGGCAATGAAGACAATTAAATGAGTCATGGCTATGGCACCAATGACTGAGACACTTTCAACTTCTATGGGTTGAAGATTCTTCATCAAAAAGACATGATAAGGGATCTCCCTGCAATAACGTAAATCAAGATGCCTGTGAAGGATATTTGCTCTGTAAGCAACATCAACAACCATGTCTATCAAGCAAAGCGTGGAGATCTAAGGAACCATTAGAACTTATTCACATTGACATATGTGGACCAATGCATACTCCATCACTAGAGCAAAATAAATATTTTATCATTTTCATTGATGACTAGACAAGAATAACATTGGTCTATTTCTTGCGAGAAAGATCACAAGTATATAAGATTTAAAAAAAAAATTAAGACTTATGTTGAAAAACAAAATGACTACTACTTGAAGACACTAAGAAGTAATTGAGGTAAAAAAATATAACTCCAATGACTTCAAAAAGTTTTGTGAAGGAGTTGAGCGACAACTCATAGTTCAATATGAACCAAAGCAAAATGGAGTTTCTGGAAAAAAAAAAGAAAAGAAAAAAAAACTATAATAGAAATAGCCAGAAAATGTTTATGATTATGGGCCTTCCAAAAATACAGCAATCTGTCTACTAAGTATACATCCAATTAAAGCAGTGGAAGACAAAACACCAATTGATACATTGAATGGAGGAATGGCATCTACAAAACATCCAAGAGTTTTCAGTTATATTTGTTATGTTCACATTCCACAAGAAAAAGAGGTGTAAATTAGACAAAAAGAAAAAAAAAAAAGGTACTTCCTGTAGGCTATAATACTCAATCTAATGGATATTGCGTCTATAGCTTAAAAACAAAGAAGTTTATCATTAGATGAGATGTGACATTTGATGAAGATGTTGCTTACAACCAGAAGACAAAAAGAGTTGAAAGAAGTGTCAACATGCCACCAATAACACATCAACAAGTTGGAGTTAATAATTAACCATGATCATCAACAAAAGTACCATACAAGAGCCAAATCAAGCTGCACATTCATCTCTAGAATCACCACCAAAAAAGAACAAAATCTCTAGAAGCAATTTATGAGCATGGTAAATTGACAATGACGGAGCCAGAACATTTCGAAGAAGTCTCAAAGCAAGAAGTTTGGAGAAAAGTTATGGAAGAAGAAATAAAGATGATCGAGAAAAATAAAATATGGGAGCTAGTCACTCTCCACAAGAAAAAAAGATAATTGGAGTCAAGTAGATCTATAGCTTGAGAAAGCAATACCAGTTGCTCAACAATTTAGAATTGACTATAATGAGACAATTGCTCCAGTTGCATGACATGATACAATAAGAACATTGGTAGCGCTCGAAACACAAGTGGAAGATTTATCGAATTGTAAAATGGGTACTCCTAAATAGCTACTTAGAAGAGAAGATTTAGTGGAACAACCTCCAGGATTTGTACAACAAGGTCAAGAAAACGAAGTTCTCAAGTTAAAGAAGGCTTTAAATGGATTAAAGCAAGCTCCAACAATTTTGTATACTTGAATCAACTATTTCATAGAATAAGGTTGCATGAGCACAAGTGAGCCGACATTATACATCAAGACTCGAGGTACGAGCTACACTTTCATTGTCTCCCTATATATAGACAATTGTATCTATGCACGAAATAATGAGGAGATGATCAAAAAATTTTGAGAAGAAATGATGAAAACATTTGAAATGAACAATTTAGTTCTGATGCATCTTTTTTATATAGAAGTAATACAAAAGGAAGGAGGGATCTTCGTCTCACAAAAGAAATATATAAAAACTCATTCTAAAGAAGTTTAAGATGAATAATTGCAAGATAGTAGCTATTCCACAAGACAACAGACACTTAACGAAGAATGATAATGCACCAAAGACTGACAACACATTCTATCATAATCTCATTGGAAGCTTATTTTATCTAAGAGACCAAATATCATATATGTAGCAAGTCTACTCTCCGGATTTATGCAAAGTCCAAGCCAAATTCATCAAGAAGCTGCTAAAAGGGTTCTTAGAGATCTACAAAGGAACAAAAAACTACGACAACTAGTATGAATTTATTGCTAACTCGAGACTAGTTCGATATACTGACAGTGATTGGGTTAGATCAGTGAATGAAATGAAGAGCACCTCGGGACATGCATTCACACTAAGCTTAAAGACATTTTTTGGACATAAAAAAAAACAAGCAACAGTTGCACAATCATCAGTTGAAGCTGAATATATTGCAGTTGCCACAAATACCAACCAAGCTATTTGGCTAAAATACATATTAGAAGACATGAGTGAGCCGTAAAAAAGAGCTACATAAATATATTGTGATAGCAAATCAGCTATAGCCATGACAAAAAAAAATCATGTATTTTATGGTATAACTAAATGTATTGGTATCAAATATCAATTCATTAGAAAATCAAGGATCAATCAAAATATTAAAATCAACACTATGAGATTGAAGACAATTAGCAGACATATTTCCAAAGGATCTTCCAAGAGAAAAGTTTAAATTGTAAAGCAATGTGATTGGAGTAAACTAAATTCGCATCAAGGAGGAGTGATAATATTGATGTTTAATTCTCCAATATTCTAGACTATTCCATCCAGTCTTAAGTAGAAGATTCTAGGTAATTTGTATTAAATAAGAATACTATAGAATATTTAATTAGGAAGAATCTGGAGTATATTTTTTTTCTAGAAAAAGTAGCAAAATTTTAGATGTTTTAAGATTTAGTCCCTCTTGCCTATAAACAAGCATAACCATGATGTTGCCATGTAAGCTGAAAACTACTTGACAACAGTTAGGAATAAAATTCTCCCTCTTCTCTTCAAAAATTTCTTACAAAATTCCAAATTTTGCATGTCTTTTATTGATAATGATTAAAAAACACTCTAAAACTCATTAACTAGTGATTTCATCCTAAACCGTTCAAAATGCTAAACACTTTGAAATCACAAATCTCTCTTCATGCAATCAAAATCATCATTGGACAATTTTGTCACATCCAAATAATACTCAAAAAGATTTTAGTTTATGAAATTATGCATGCAATTGCTTTTAATAATGTTATAATAAAATAAAGGGATTATTTGACACACACAATCACACACACCAAAGTTTAAAAGATAAAATTGAGAACCGAGGTGTTTTCTCTTATAGAGGCGAGACGAATTGAGTAATAAGCCTTAAAAAGGAAAAAACTCATTTAATTAAAATAATTCATAATTATGAAAAACTATTGATATGTTGATTTAGTTTATTATCATCAAAATATAAATCACATATATTGATCATAAATGTTTAAATAACATAGATGTTTGAAACATGACTCTAGGTAAATATTCACTTCAAATTTTGATATTTTTGCAGATTCTGGATCTATAGTGGCCCCATATTTACTTTTATCATATTCAAAAGAATTATCAGATTTACTATCATCTAATTATGTCTTATTGGGAACTTTAAATTATTCTTAATTCACTACAATCTTCCTTTTATTATTAACCAATCTGAAATCCAATATAATTTAAAATAAAAAAATTAAGTGAATAACAAAATCAACTAATCATACTTAAATTATTTTTTGACTTCTTTGAGACAGTGTATCAGATCAATTAAATATAATACAATATAATATACTAATTTTTAGTCAAGGCATTATCTCTAACGCCTCGAAACATAAAGCTTCGAGGCATACGCATCATACAAAAAAGGTGTAACCCTCACTGGTGAAGCCTCGCGACTTCTTTTGTTCAACTTAGTTTGAGGTGCGCTTCAAGGTATAATACTTGATCCCACTTTTAAACAAGAAACTTTATACAAAGAGATAGAGACGCCTACATATTTCTAAAGGACTTCATAAAAAAAAATACAAACTATCCAAGAATGGTTCAATTACATATTAAATATATACTAAAAGCAAGCTAAGCTTTAGAAATGCCCATTTTGTAGAGAATATTAGGTGTCAAATTTTTTAAGTTAAAAAAACATTACACACTTAGAAAAATTCCATATAGACGGTGTTTGGTAGTACCATTTTAAGAGGATTTACGTTGAATGTAACGTAAATCAGCCAAACAAGAAAAAAAGGGCAATTAAATAAGACGCTTCCCTGAATCCATTTTCTTCTCCACCATAAATGTAAATCCTGGATTTTCTAAATCCGATCGATAGATGTATTTAACAATTTAAAGAGGAAGATCCTGTCGCTTCTTTCATTGCACAAGACGAGGAGGCGCGATCACCAAATATTGTAAACAAATTTAACTGAAATCATACAAAACATTTTCTGGATTTAACACATTTGGATTTGATAAATCCATATTTACACGATTTACTAAATCCCGAGAGAAGCCAAGCACCCCCATTAAATCATCATATCATCACTTGATTAGGTGCACCAATAAAAGATTGTGTTACAATACTCAGTTTAAAACCTTGAAATAGCTCTGCTTGAAATATTGTGTCTTATGAAAAAATCCACCTCTTAAAAATGACATTATGATTAAAAAAACCAAATTGGATTTGATAAATCAAAATTTACAAGATTTACTAAATCTCGAGAGAAGCCAAACACCCCCATGAAATCATCATATCATCACTTGATTAGGTGCACCAATAAAAGATTGTGTTACAATATTCAGTTTAAAACCCTGAAATAGCTCAGATTGAAATATTGTATCTTATGAAAAAATCCACCTCTTAAAAATGAAACTATGATTAAAAAAAAACAGATTCTCAAACCCATCACCAGTCCCATGGTTTCAAATTTGTATAACAACAAATTAACAACATCATCAGATAAGAAAGAAGAAAGAAGCATCAACAAAGGAACAAATTTCCAATTTTTTTTCCAAATCTATTAACATGGGTGATAGGTCGAAGAAGTGCAATTGATGCAAGTAGGTTTAACGGCGATATCTTTCAAGAAAAAAAATTAAATTTTAACATCAAAAAAACAGCATATCTTATTCAGCAGAACAGACCATAACGCATACAAATGGCTTCATTACGATAACACAATCAATCACAAGCGCGCTTCAATGAGCCCTCACAAATCATAGCATTAAAATGAGTGAAAACTACGGGATATGCACAGAGAACTTTTAGAAATTGACCTAATGAAAATACAAATCAACTCCGTTTGACCTAATTAGATCTACGAACTCAAAAATAAAAAATAAAAAATAAAGAAAAAAAAGTCATCTACTGCAACGAGAACAAACGCTAGATTTACAAATATTTAGAGCGAGAGAGGTGAGATGTACCATTGTGGAAATCTCCGACGACAACTCTTCTCAGCTCGGTCGAATTGCGGCCGGCGTCTCAGAGCCCTAACAAAATAGCACTAAAGGCACAAAAGTAGTGAAGGGATTTTGTTATTATATATTTGAGGGTGCGCCAGGCGATGGTTAAATATTATTGAATATAATATTGTGAGGTATGAATATAATATTGTTACTTATGGCTCATTTATATCATATATATATATATATATATATATATATATAATTAATAGAGCAACTCGCTCCTTACACATTAAAAAAGAAAAAGGGTAACCGGAAGCAAATGTCCAATCGGAGGAGTTTCGTTATGAGCGGAAGCAAAATCCCCTTAGGGTTGCAAACCTCGTTAAATCTCTGTGTTTAATTTCTGAATTTGCATCGATTCTTGTGTTTTTTTTGCCCTAAAATTATTGACAACAATTAAATTCAAACTGAATGAATTGGGTGCGAGTAAGGATGTGACTCAAGTCCTCTATCTGTGTGGTTCTTGTCGTCAAATGACATCATTATAGTATGGTCACGGTTGTAGCCCGAATAATTCTCAATGGCATTATGCTATTTTAAGTATTGAATCATATGGTATATTCGATGAAGATAAAAGTTTTCTATAAGTTAAGGTCGACTTAATTAGTCTTCTTAAACAAACATTCACCTCATGTCTACAAGGTTTTCTTTAGATGAAGCAACCCATGACTACTAACATTGATCCTTCGGTCAGGTTGTGTCGACTACATCTGCTGACTAAGTAGACCAGGAACCACAACAACTCGAGATGACAGTTCATCATCGTTTACCCCACCATCCGCTTTGAGCTCACGGTGATCATAATTTAAAATTTTAAATTCTCAAATTTGCTACTACTATATGCTAAATCCGAATATTTAGCATCTAATGTCTAGCCTTAATCGAAAGTGTTCTCCAATTATCGAGGATGTAGTCATTTTTGCTTAATATTCACCAAAATTAAGCATCAAAAGTGTAGACAATAATCGTTAAAGTCGAACACCAGTAATTCCCTTTTTTTTTTTTTTTTTTTTTGAAAACGACCATAAAAAATCCATCACATACTCGTGAAAGCCGAGCGTTATAGTTTTATTTTATTCATTGAAGTTAAACGTATATTCGCTACAATGGAAGCCATAAGCTTCTTTGTGGCAACCCGAGCAACCACCAAACGTAATCGTTAAGCCGATCCAAATTCTCCTTGAACTTTGTGACTCTTGCACAAAACTTCTATTCATCGAAGTCAAGTAGTCAAAGCCGTCCTAGTTTTGTAACTAATAAATTTTATTTCTTTCTTTTAAAGAGCTAATAGCTATAAAATTATACTTATTCTAATTCTAAAAGTAAAATTTTAACTAAATTAATTAAACAATGTGCAATCATAGAATAATTTAAATTTTAGTAGATAAATAAGAAGAATTTATTTGAAATATAGTATATATCTAATTTAAAATTAATTTTTTATAAGCATGACATTTTATAATACCAGTTAAATTTTATTCTTGCATATTTTATTTTGTAATTTCTTTAACGAAGAATAGTGTAAAATAAATATTTTATATTAATAATTAACTAAACTTCTTATACATTTTTTTCATTTATGTCATGTTCATGTATCGTGTTGTGTCATGTCCGTGCCACGAATTCATGTTCGTGCTTCAAAGGTCCCTATCTGAATTTTGTTATATTTATTTTTTTTTTGTTGCAACCAACTTTTAAGCAAAGTAAAACTTAGCCACATTATTGTCATTATTTTGAATCATGTAATTTTTTTTTCAATACAACACTTATATTAAATATTCATAATCACTAAATTACACTAATTTAAATAAAATAAAATAAATAACCGAGCATATATTTTTTAGTTTAGTGGCAATAAAAATTTAAAAAATATTTTGTTTTTTAATATAAATAACAACTTAGAAGAAAATAAATAAAAAATATATATACTGGTCAATAAATTGAGCTCCGCTAGTTGATAGTTATCCCAAGGTGTAGGGCTGTGAATGAACTGAGTTTGAGTGAGCTCAGGCTTAGCTCGTGTTTTACTCGTTTGAAATTAGCTCGTGTTCGAAATTACTCTTAAACAATTTAATCATATTCAACTATTTTTACATATTCTTGTTTGTGTTCGGTTTGAAATTGACTCATTTAAATTAATTAGTTGTGGGATGTTGGATTCAAACATTCACTAATTATGTGCAATAAAAGACATGACCACACGAGCTGCTATGATTTAAACATATATATATAAAAGAGCTGAAGACTATCAAACAAAGAGTTTTGCATGCTCTGCTCGTTTATAATTCAAGCTCAAAAAAATTATTTCTATTCATCCTGTTTAAAAAACAAATTATTCAAACACCAACTACTTAACAATAAGAAGAAGTTCGCAAACAACAAACATTTCAATGTGGGGACACCCTTCGAAAGATCGTGATTTCTCTCAGAAAGTTTTTTTATCTGGAAGTTTTACCTATACAACTATTTACTTGTGCATGAAATGTTGTACTTATATGTGATACGCCACCAATATATTTCATCATCCGACATGAATCCTGACGCATGACATGAATCTCAATACAATATTTTAAGAAGAAAACATTCAAATCTGGATAAAATGTCATCTAGAACTTCGATTTCAGCACTTATAGTAAAACAAACCGACTTGATGAGACGGACTTAATAATAAGAAAACTAGTCTAATCCGAGTCAAATCAAGCCCAAATCAAGTCATTGAACCACACTTAGATGATTTCCGGACACATTTGAAAAGTCAAATGGTTGTCGAATATAGTAAGTTTGTGCTCGAATCGAGCGGCTCGACAAGACGAATCCAACGAGTCTAATATCACTCAATTCTGACATCATTAAGGCATTCAAATGTCCACTAAACGTCATATGATCGATGGAAGTTCTCCGGATTGTCCGATCAAAATGATTCATATTTCTGCATTAACTGCACCAAGAACACTATAAATAGAGTTTCATCCCTCCCATGGGAGGAGGAGGAAGTCTAGAGAGAGAGTCTGAGGTCTTGAAGAGAAGCTGTATCTCAGCATCACCGCCGATCATCTTCGACCACCACCGACCACTGTCAACGAACGTCAGTCTCCGAAGACCACCGCCGGCAGTCGTCGACCTCTACCAATTGTCATTGACCACCACTAACCACCATCGATCACTATTAACCAGACGTCGTCAGTCGACGTTGTAATCTAAAAAATTATAGTTATCTTTTCTCATTTTTGGGACAAGGGATTTTTGTAACCATCAATTAATAATGGATTTCTGCAACTGGGCTAGACCCCGTGATTTTTCCCTTATGGGTTTTCCACGTAAAAACTCATGGAGTCATAACCGTTTTTTTTTTTTTCATCTGATTGTGTGTTGAATCCTCGCACAAATCTAAGACAATAATTCATTACTCTACCACGCCGCAAATTTTCTAGCACACATCAATATGAAAATCTTTTATGGTGTAAATGTAAAAAAAAAGTAAAGCTTAGGTGTGAGTTATATGTTTTAAAGACAAAATATTTGGATGATTTTCTAATAGTTTCACAATCTCATAGATGAATTCGCAAATCGATTTTGTTACCTTGATTAGATTTGGCAAAGGAAGGCGAAGATTAATCATTTTTCTTCTGGTTTGACAAATTGGCTGCAATTAGGATAACTTCAGGATGATATTTTTGTTTGATTTGGCAGGGAAAAGATATGTTGTTTATTTATCCACATTCATCCTTTAAATTGAATGTTATTCATCTTCTTCTTAATGTAAATCCAGATTTATTAAATCCCAATACGAGACAAATTTATTCGTCCGTCGCTCCCAAATTCCGCCGTCGAAAAAAATCCAGAGTTTATCAAATTGGATAAATCCTGTTTGATGCAAATCTAAGCTGCAGCCAAACACAGCCCAAACAAATCGAACCTCAAACATCATCTTTGCATTTTTTTGGTGCATCTTATTCATTAGTGTTATGATAATGATAAAAATTTTCATTAATAAATATTTAGATGTAATTAAAATTATGACAATGAAGAAAATTGAAGATTGAAAATGAGCAGATTGGAGTTTCTATTTTGGCAGATTTACAGACATACAACTCATTTCTTACGTATTTACTATCTAAAACCTTAACAAAAACTTCTTACACATACCACCTTAACAACGCTTGAAAAGGATTGATATTTATGAGCTCTTGTTGAGATGATATAGGCAACTTGGTCTTGCCACAAATAACATACCATGAATTATTGCTATTGACATTTATGTCGTCCGACTGTGGATGGAAGTAGGGCTGTCAAAAAAACTCATTGTTCGTGAACAGTTTTTTGTGTTTGATTCGTCTGTTTGATTCGTCAATGAGTTCGTGTTCGATTTGTTCGATAAGCAAATGAGACGAACGTGAACAAATTTTTTCGTTCGGTTTGTTAAACGAACCAAACACGAACAGTGATGCGTTCGTTCGTGTTCGAATCGTTATTGTTTGAAATATAAAAAATTTAAAATAATTATATATAAAAAATTTATAATATTTTAAATAATTTAATTTTATAAATTATAATATATAATAAATTAATAACAATAATATATTAATATACTATATTAGTAATACACTAATATAGATACTATATATTTATATAACATGAGTTATATAATTAATATAATATATTATTTATATATATTGATATTAGGGATGTCAAACTGGCTCGCCGTTGGGGAACATAAATTTCAAACGAACCGAAAACAAACACAAGCTCTGTTCGTTTACACCCCTAGTCATAAAAAGATTTCTGGCAATTGTTGACTTTAAAGCTGGTTGTATTTAAATGTGTTCAATTGTATGCTCAATAGTGTGCATCTGAAAAAAAAATATATATTATAGAACAACATTTGAATCTTTACTTAATTTTCTGTTTGGTAGTTTAATGTTTAGTCGTTTATGTTGAGCTAGCAATATTTTTTATTCATGAGGTGCATCTCTATATACAAAGAAATGAAGATGGATAGTAACTTGATTATGCACAGAAGTGTCTCTGTTGATTTAATGAAGTTGTAGCTCTTTTTATCTTCTTAAAATGAAAATGATGCAGCAAGTTTTACTTCAAAGTAAATCATATAAAATGTTATATAAATTTGGTTTTAAGTTTTTTTTTTTTTTGGGGAAGTAAATCTAATTTCAAAAATTAATATAAATAAAATTAAATACTTATTTATTAAGTACATAAGTTATTATATTTATTTTATGATTAGTGCAATAATAATGAATTAACTAATTTTATATTATCTTCATATTAAAGTAAATGTACAATTTTGAGGCACATCAAACCTAATTTCTTACGTATGAAATCACTGTACTTGTATTAAATTTCATGCCCAAGAAAAAAGCTAGTTGATAAATATAAATTGAGGCCATCTCCAATTATATAAGTTGGCCGTTGTTGCCTTATTTTGACATTTGAATCCACGCATTATTGAAGAGTTGGAGGACCCACCGGTTTAGAAGTGGACTAGTTTGGACCGGATCAGGTTCATGTTATCCATTCACGTGCTCTTGTCCCCACCAAAAATTTTATCAGCCATTCACTTAATGCCACGTTGCTGCTAATTCTAATTTAGAGTGCAGATCACACTTGTACATGCAAAGGGCTGAAGTATAAATTAATGAATTAACATAACTTTTTTAGGAAAATTTAATAATACACCATATTTACATGTCTATATTTAATTGCAATTATAACATTTTTGTGCCATAAGTTTATTCAAAAAAAAAATCCGTTAAACAAAGCCTGAATTAAACGAAAAATTATCACATCCTGATGTCCGGATGTGAGGACAATGACTCGAATGCACCAGCGGAGGGCGGGAATCGGATCTCCGCCTTCCTCGCTGCATCCCGGCCGTTGTTCGCATATCCGGAGTCCGGATATAATAAGTTCTCAAATTAAACGGGCCGATAATCAAAACTCATTTTTAATCCAAAAATTCAAACTGACAAGCAAGAGCACCTAACAATATTTCTAACTAATAAAGTTTCTAACTAATCAATATACAGCGAAACTTGATACTTCACTTATGCGCTTAATAGTAAGTATGGCTTTCAATTTGATGACAAATTTAATCACAACATTCACGCCTTGTAATATAAAAATTATATTATAAAATACAAATTTAGTCAGGCTTAACTTGTTAAATTTATAGCATTGAAGAACATTATAGGTACATTCGAGCAATTCATCAACGATGAACTTTTCACATTTGATAAGTAGCACTTCAACAGTAAATAAATAAAAGTTTAGGGGTTAGAAATGTAAATACATAAGAATTGGTTGGTGGTTGGTATATATGTACCCCAAATATTAAATATATTTATGCTATTATGAAGCGTTTTTCTATGGAAGTTCAATAGGTATATGTTATATTTTAGTGTTATTCTAATCAAAATATCTGAGTAAATAGTCAAAATATCTGAGTAAATAGTATTTGGATTGACTAGATTCAGTCCAAGTAGATATTTTGAACCCGAATGCGGCCAAAACTTGTAATAGAAGGAAATTATAGATTTAAGTATCAAATTAAAAAAATAAATTAATTAAAACCAAGCATTTTTTTAAATGACTTTATACTAATTCCTATCACTTAAGAGTAAATCAAGTCATCTTAAGAGTGCAATTTAAATAATTAAAATTGAACCTTGCATTGGGTTGAATCACATATTAGTTTTTTGTGAACACGTCTCGAGAGTTAGAGCGGAGTGAATGAGAGAAAAAAAATAGGGTGGGTCAAAGCTTTATTGTCGAGAGAACCAGGGGAGAGTTCAAATAGCTTGCCTCCTCTTTGGTCGTTTTTTTGTCTCTTATTTATATGAATGTATTTTGTACAGTTATAAAAATGAGGGAGCAATTACAAAAATAATTCTTAATATAATTAATGATATGATTAACTATATGGATTTTTATACTCTATATGTTGTATAGTTTGAATTCTAACATGACGGTAATTGATCGGTTGGCTTGCTTGACTTCGGCAGGTTGAGACAATCGGCTGAGTGGCGATCTTGTATTATGTTGGTTGGTTAGGGCATTCGATCGAGTGTTGATCTTCTTCATCTTGACGAAAAGTGGGTCGATCGATTAGCCATGGTCAATGTTTCTCGCAAGCTCCCTGGCCAGTCAATCAGCTTATGGGTCGATTTGTTTCATTGGGTGAGTCAGGGCACATTGTCGTTTGACTCAAGCCTTACAGGGTCTGTGTCTCTGTCTGTCTGGTCGGTTCGTCGCCTCGACCAAATATTCTCTTTGACAAGGTCTTGGGTGGATATTGTTGCGACATATCCGACAAGACTTGCTGCCAGAATGATTTGTGTCTCACTCTCAGTGGATCTTGCCGCTATCGAACGGGAAAAATTCTCCAGAGTTTTTACCTATTATGTGTTTAGATATGCGACTTTTCATGTTTGGAATTGAATTGTCGGTCGATCGCTTACCTCCGAAGGAAGCTTTATTCCTCAATCGTTTGTTTTCTTTGAGATTCGTGGTGGTTGTTCTGGTGTATACACATTGATATACTAATCAAGCCTCAGATGAAAAGAAAATATTATGCCGGTGACATGGATCCCAACATATTATTGGACGCCAGAAGTAATATTTACTCTTAAATCAGGTCATTTAAATATTATTATAATACTTAAATTTAATGCTTTGCTTAAAAACATTAAAAAAAACCTAAAATATCTAATTTTTAAACGTTATAGCCCAATTATAATTATTTATGTTTCAAGGATTTCATCCTTATCCTATTGATTTGTGAACTCACCTCACCAAGAAAATAGTTAATTAAGCAAGATATTGTATTTAGAGAAAAGAAAAAAAAAGGAGAGAAAAAATAAACATTTCAATGTTAGGGGGTCCTCCCCCTCCTTTAAAAGAAATGAGAAAAGATTGATTGATTTATAAGTTATGAATTAAGTATTCAATACACACCAGTCTCCATAGATCTTTAATCTATTTTTTTTGGCACGGGCATATGCGCGTAAGTTTATGTCCAGAGTCGAGTGAGAACTTACCATGTGATAAGTTTTTAAGGGACAAATTTTTCTGTCCAATCACCGTACCTACGGACAACGAACGAGATGCAACGGTGACCGGCCACTGCTGCATCTCGTCCGTTGTCCGCCCATACGGTGACCAGACAGAAAAAAAAACGCCCCTTTTAAGGAGGGTGGAGCTCACTTACCACACCGCTGAATCTCGTCCGTTGTCCGCAGGTATGGTGACCAGACAGGAAAAATGCTCCTTTTAAGAAGGGTGGAGCTCACTCACCACATGCACATTCTCAATTGTTTATGATCGGATGTAATATTTTCTAGTTGAAAGATTGATTTCTGCCAATGTCCCAATCATACTCATCCAGTGGGGCCCACAATTATGGACTTGATCCAATATGGTTATTAAACGGCATGTGGACTCAAGCCCTAAGTTTGAGTAATTACGAACCTCCATGGCCAACTCCTGTTCTCTGCTCACTTCTCTCACTTCTCTCTCCTCACCTCCCGCCCCCGCCTTCCTCTCTCGCCACCGCCCCGGCACAGTTACCGTCCCCCGACCATCTTCCCTCAAAGTCTTCTTCCCCTCCGCCGGTGATTTCAGGCCGGAGCTCGACGAGAACCCGGAAGCCATCATTTCCGGCGAGTGGACTCAGAACTTCTCCCTGCTCAGCTACGATGATCTCCTCGCCTACCTCCGATCCCAACCACCCCCCAGCAAGGTTCCACTTTGATTTCATAATTTGTTTCAATTTCACACACAGAATCCTAATTGGAAATCATACTTCGATTCAGAATTCGCAGCATGTGGGATCGAAGACTCTGCTTCGAGACATGATGTCGAAGGGGATAAGGACGGCGAGAGCAGAGCAGAGCTTGGGGGAGATCGCCGGCTGTTTTGAGTTTGTGTCCGGACTTCCGGTGGTCGACGATGATCTCCGCTGCGTTGGAGTTGTGTGTAAGAATGACCTAGCGAGAGCTAATCATGAGGTAATTAATTATATTTCTCCAAAATTTGTTTATTATGTTTATTTTTTTATTAGTGCAATAATAAATCATTAATTAAATTTGTATTATGTTTATTCGTATAAAAGTAAATATAAAATTTTCAGGCACATCTAACCAAAATTTTCCCTCACTATGTATAAGAGGTGTGAATTTAGCTTGAATCTAGTCGTTAATCACTCAAAATTGACTCAAATTTTGGCTTGGATCGCGATCAAATCAAAATGATTAAGGCAGGCTACAAGCCGAGATTTTGGATCGATTTTTTTTTTCGAGCTGATTTCGAGCCGACTCTAGCTCAACTTGAGATTTTATTGTTTACTGTTCTAATGATGTTAAAGTTGTGAGTTTGAAATAAACAAGTCAAGCTATGAAGCAAAATTTTGGATCGAATTTTCTTCGACCCAACCCCGACTCAACTCTAAATAGAATAGTTTACAACCCAAGCTATATATAAGAATTCATGCTTGATCAAAATAAATAAATAAATAAATAAATAATCATACTTGATGTATAAGATGATTATTATGAAATCATGCTAGGAAAGTAAAGAAGCTCCACTGTAAAAAGTATTATAATATTGGGGCATTTACATGCATACCCCCAATCCCATGTATTTAAATATCTTACCCTTAAATTTTACTTTTTTATATTTATATCATACCAAAAACCACCATTTTTACTTTGAAAAAAAAAAAAAGATATTCATCTTTTCATTCAAGATGAGATGTAAATGAAAATTAAAATTCATGTGTTAGATATGCAAATACATAAGAATGTAATGTTGAGTATATGTAAATCTTCCTATAACATGGAGTTAACTAAAAATTTACAAGTCTGCAACCTCTTCTCCTGAGCTTTTGGTGTGTTTTGTTAGCCCTGTTAATATTTTTGTGTACGTGAAAACAGTTGAACTCAAAGGTGGCAGATATAATGTCCTCGCCGGCAATCACACTTACGCCTGAGAAGACGGTGAAGGGTATCCCATAAGGGCTTCTCAACCCCCCCTCTCTTTCTCTCTCTATATATATATATGTAATTTATTTATTTATATATATCACCTAATGTTCAGAACAAATATTATTTTGTAGATGCTGCGGCGCTAATGCTGAGGATGAAGATTCACAGGATACCTATACTGAACCGACAAGAACAGGTCATAGGTGAGACTTCCATTAATTTTTAGCGGAGATTAGTTATTTAATTGTTATGTTAGTAAAGGTGTAAGTAAGTTGAATATGGACAAATTAGCATTATCGACTTAGAGTACTAATGAGCTCATATTATTGATGTCACACACTAAGTCTAGAAGAAGAAGGTATATCACAACAAAAATTTAACATGTTTCAGATGGTCCAAAGCCGTCGGTTAACAAATTTTCGACGGTTTCGTGACGGGTATTAGATGTAAGCAAATTGCTGGTCGGTAATTGAAAAAGCGATGGATATAGCTACTGTTTTCTTATTCCCGTCGCTATGTTGTTGGTGAATCCATGAAATGTCGTTGGAAAGCCGTGTAAAACTAAAATAAATAAATAAATGTCATTCTTTATCATTTCAATTTTCACACATGACATTGTAACATTAAACCCAATGTGATATAACACAACACAATTTACCAATCGAGACATTTATTAAACTAAAATAATAGTAATTAATGCATAAATGAAACACATAAATAGGAGGAATGCATTGAACCAATCAAAAAGATTATGTGTACATAAAAATAAGTTGTTCACTCAAATGTTTCAAATAAATATAAAGGAATAAATAAAAAACCACTAATCCTCCTCAGTCCCTTCCTCATCATTCTCCTCAAAATCATCCACTGCGGGCTACTTGCCTTTCAACTCTACCCGACTCTGGAATGCATCTGACTCTAATTTCATTTTCAGCTCCATCTCCAACCTCATTTCCGACTTTATCTGGGCGAGATGGGCAACAACTCTAGTCTCAATGTCCATGGTGAATGTGACAACCTGCCCACTAACTTTCTCCTATATTTATATATCAAAATTAAAACAACTTCACATCATTATTTATATATCTAACACTTAAACTTAATTTTTTTACATATATAACACTAAGATCTTTTATGTTGCATTACAAAATATCACTATTTTAACTTTTAAGAAGTAAAACATCTTTTCATTCTCAAGTATGGTTGTCTATATATACCTCTAAATTGAATTTTAGGTGTTAGATATGTAAATACATAAAATTTGATTGGTTTATATGCAAATATTCCCCAAGAAAAATGATATTGAGCTCAACTCATTCTTTGAACTTTTTCTGATTTATGTTTAATAGGGTGCATACCTCCATTCCCCCATCCTTCATGCTTCCCACTTCCACTATATGCAATCCTCTCTTCATCCTTCCCTCTGTGTCGGCCTCACTTTCACTTCCTCCTACTCAGATTCCCCCTCCTTCGCTCGAACAGCCCACCTCCTCTCATACCCCTCCGTTTCCTATGCACTCCACTATCCCCTCCACTCTCACACACCCTCATGGCGAACTAGATATGTAACTTGATGTTTTGAATACCTTTCTTCATGGCGAACTAGATGACGTAGTTTATATGAAACGACCTTCGGGCTTCACTAATACTTACTTTCTCAATCGCGTTTGTAAACTACACAAAGCTATATACAATCTCAAATAGGCACCCGAACAATGGTACTCTACATTTTGTCAATTTCTACGCACACAACTTCAAATCAAACACTGATGACCCCTCTTTATTACTCTGTCATCAACATAACATACAAATTTATCTTCTCGTTTATGTTGATGATATCCTCATCACCATTAATTCCTCCACCGCTATAACATCCGTCACTAGTCGCCTCAGCCAATAATTCAATCTTGAACAACTTGCTAACATATCTAACTTTCTAGGGTTACAAATTTCTTCCACCTCCACTGACTACATCATGCTTCAATCTACTTATATTATAGATCTTCTCACCAACACAGGAATGCTTCAATCAAATCTTGTTATCTCTCGTCTTCCCACAAAACCATATCATAACAATAATACTCCAACCCCTCTTCCCAATCCTCATGAGTTTTGGAAAACTGTTGGCTCCCTTCAATATCTCGAGATCACTCGCCCAGACATCACTTTCACAGTCAATTTTCTTAGCCAAGACATGCACAATCCCAACACGCTTCATAATCAACACTTAAAATGCCCACTTTCCATCGAGCTAGGCCCCAACTACTCTCTATGCATATGCAGATGCCAACAGGGTAGGCGATCACTTAGATCGAAAATCTACCTCCGGATTTTTCATTTGCATTGACAACACCCTCGTCACATGGCCGGCCAAGAAGCAGCCCACGGTTTCAAAATCCTCCACCGAATCAGAGTACATGGCTCTAGCCACAACCACAATAGAGGTCCTTTGGTTACGCCGCTTCCTACAAGAGCTTACCGAACTTTCAGTTCCCTCAACCACCATCTACAGTGACAGCATATCCGCCATCGCACTCACTCACAACCCTGTCTTCCATGCACGAACAAAACACATTGAAGTGGATTACCACTTTATACGAGATCATCTAAAGCTCTGGTGTATCTCTCTTCACCATATAAAGTCATAACATCTACATGCCAACATCCTAACGAAACTCCTATCTACCCCGCATCATCAAAAACTCGCTTCCAAGTTTCTTCCTCTTGGCTGAATGACGCTTGCGGTGCTCATGTTTCCTTCCCATTATATAAAGTGAATAAGTTACATTATGTTTAATTACCGTTTTACCCTTACGTCCTCTCTCTCTCTATATATATATACACTCTGTAATTGGAAAAGTTAATTAAGAACATTAATACTTATCTTTCTTCTGGTCTGTAAATTGCTTCTATCAAGAAGATTGGTTTCAACACAGTTTTATTAAAATATTAAAATTAATATTATAAATGTAACATAAATTTTTATTTTATCATGTCAGTTGGTTCCTTAACTTTACTTAACTATGTTAATTCATGGTATCAGGTATGGTAACTCGCGGTGACATATCCCAGGCCCTACAGGGTCTCTCTTCCCCTTAGCCTCGCCCACTCTCTTCCATCTTCGCTTCTCTGCTGTAAAGATGTATAAAGACTAGTACTGTTCTGTATACTTTTCATGAATGAAATAATATACTTTTGTAATATATAGTATTTTAAATGAATTTTCTGTAACCAGAATGACATCTTTGCAGGTATGTTGATTCAGTTATTCAACGCAATGAACAATGTGTGTATATATATGTATGCTTTACATACATATCAGACAATTCTTATCCAATTGCATATCTAACACCCAAAATTGAATATTTACAATTATGACTCCTCAGTGTCATAAATGTATGCATGAAAATGTGTATTTTGCTTTTAAATAATAGTGGTTATGATATTTGTTATGCAATGTTAAAAATCTGAGTGTTATGTATGTAAATGTGAAGGTTTAGGTGTTAGATTTGCAAATACACGTGAATTGTGTGATACTTGTGGAAATGCCGCATATTTGTGAAAATATTCATGTGTTCAGTAAGAAAACTTGATTATTTGTCGACTCAGGTTTAAAGCAATAAGCTGAATGAGAAGTTAAGTCAAGTCTGATAAGATAAAAATTATATATTTATACATATAAGTATATAGAAACATACATCTATGTATCTATGTAAATTTGAGTTAATATATAAATAAATCTATCATTTTGAACATCTTATTTACCTATATAAGATCTAAAATTTTTTTAAAAAATATAATTTCTTGAACATATATTTATTGCATCATTCACCTTCTAGGGGTGGCATGCGCTGATAAATGGGCGACATGTGAGAGATGTAAAATTGATGATAGATTTTAAGAATATGAGAATGGAGAAGCAAAACACTTTTGTAAAATAAATGAATGGATAAAAGAGCACAAATAGATCCAAAAAGGAGGCATGATGTTTCCTAATTGGTTAAAAGAAGAAAGGTATGGTAGCATATGAAATGGTCGCAACCTTATGATTTTACAAGTTGGGTTTTGTCGTACATCAAGAAATACCCAATTAAAGTGATCACTCACTATCCCCTCAAGACTGTCCTCACCAAATTGGAATCTTTGGCCGACTTCTCAAATGGATGATGAAACTCAACAAATTTAACATGTCATATATTCCAAAAAAAATGATCAAAGCCCAAACCATGGTAGACTTCTTAGCCGACTTCATTGAATTTGATGATCCCGGTAACAAACAACCATCTAGAGACCTACATGGATTCTTCATGTCGACAGAGCATCCAACTAAAATAGTGTGGGACTCAAACTAGCTTGAATGGTGATCGTCTGTACCACACACTATGTAGATGGAATTTAGTGTCACCAACAATCAAACCAAATGTGAGGCCCTCATATCTAGGTTGTGTTTTGGCACACGATACCTCCTAGTAAATTTGATTTGCAACTAATAGTCGAACAAGTATATGGGTGATTCAAAACTAGGGAAGAAATGATGGTGAGATATATTGCAAATGCAAGGGGATAAAGAGGCAGATTCAAAAGCTGCAAATTTGAACATGCCCTCTAGATGACAACCATATAGCGGATCTCATATCCAAGCGTAGCCACTTGGGGAGAGGAACTCCCAAAAGCTCTGCACTTAGCCATTGAAAAAGCTGAAATAATGGAAGTAGAGGCTAAAATGGTGAAGAGTTGGATTAATCCATATGTTCACTTAATTGAGCAGTAAATATCTCCAAAGAAGCAACCAATCTGAGACACTTCAAGTTCAAAGCAGCCAAGAACCTCATGTTGGACGTTAAACTTTTTAAAAGGTTGGCCTTTTTCCTATATATGGGATGCGTGTGAGAAATCTAGGACTTGAAGCTATTTCAGAGGAAGAAAATTGTCCCACCGAATACACAAATAAGGATCTGACCGTCTCTCAAAAAAGGCACCAAAGAATTTTCAAGGAGATGTGAGCAATGCCAGAAATTTGCACAATTGCAATACCAGTCATCATACCAATTATAACCCATAGTGAGCATGTGCTTGTTTGTCATTTGGGGTCTAGTTATCATCCAACCCTTCCCACCTTCAAAGGGGTAACAAAAATACATGTTAGTAGCAATCAATTGCTTCTCCAAATGGATCAAGACTAAGACACACACTCGAATTACGGTTAACGACATTCAAAAATTCATCTGGACTAGCCTCATTTGCACATATGGCTTGCCTCTTATCGTCATTATTAACACTGAAACACAATTCTTTGACCTAGGGGTTAAGGAATTTTGACAAAACTAAGGAACCAGTCTTAAATTCACCTTCGTCCACCACCCGTGGATAAATGAACAGGTTGAAGCGATCAATAACTTTACTCGGGAAAAAAGGACGAGGCACGAAGGAACGTTGAGCTGGCCATCTCCCATCTATCCTTTGGGCAATCCAAACCGCAACGTCAATAGGGACCGATCAAACTTTGTTCATGCTTTCACATAGAGTCAAAGCAGTATTGCCTATGGAATACAACCACCACAACTATATGGTAGTCTTCTCTTCAGCGTTTATTTGAGAAAGCTTGGGTGAATGGAAAAAGGTCAATTATGAAGGACTGAAGCCCGCTCTTGATGTGATAGAGGAAAAGCGAGTTGAATCTGCTTTCAGGCAAGATGTGATCAAGAGAAGAACTGCCTGACATTTCAACAAACATGTATGAGATAAAATTTTCAGTGAAGGAGATCTCATATTGAAAAATTTCAACATAGCCATGTGAGGCCAAGCATTAAGAGCAAGCGGGTCGCCCAGAAAGCCCACAAACTATGAACATATAACTGGAAGGAAGTGTCTTACACATGGAGCATAGACGATATAATTTGTTTTACCTTTAAAAAGCAATGTACTGGTTATAATTTTGTTCAATAAAGACAAACTTATTTTTATTACTAATCAAACGAATGCATAAAATTTTCTTCTGAAATCTTAATTTAAACTTAACGTCGAGCAGCCAAAAAAATGTCTTTTAATAATGTTCTAAAACCCCTTAACTAGATTGAAATCAAACTCTTAAATATCAAAGCACCTTTTGGTGTAACGATGAAATTTCATTAAAAACTCGAAAGTATGATGATCCTGGCGCATTCTTGAGATGGTTGACCTCCTGATAATTTACATAAATAGGGTAAAACCGTAAGACCATTAAACCAAGTGAGCAATGCCTTGCATGATCTATCACAAATGACATCGGAGCATTACACTATCCAGAGGATGGGAACTAGGTGACATACATACTAAAATGCTACGCCATGGGAGCCACCACTTGAACCAAAGGTGGGAAAAAGTGTTGTATGGTGGAAGCCACCTCTTGAGTATGTACGGGCCACCTCTATAATCTTATATTTTTAGTGAATGATTATGGGTACAGAGCAATGATGAGTTTGTTAGGTGCTTAAATGGAGGAGAATGTGAAACCCCTCAAGGATATTAAAGCCACATGCTTAAACATTTAGTTGCTATTTGGTAGAATGGTGGAATTTCATTATAAGCTCAAAAGTTATATGTGGGCGTTCCAAAGCATTTCTAGATAGTTGACCATCTGAGAAGGTACACAAATAGAGCAAAACTGTAAGACCGCTGAGATAAATAGGACAATACCTTGATGGGTGAGAGTTCAAGTTGTCACATATCACTCGACCGCCTTACAAAAATTAGCTCAAAAATGAAAAAACTCGGATAAATAGTTTGCTAAATGATGAATGATTTAGACTCATGGAACTTAATTAATTGACACAGGGAACTCGATCGCAGGTAGCCTAAAGACACACAAAACACATATAATGATAGTAAGAAATAAAGGCATGCAAGATAACATGTAAGAGGTTCATATTACAGTCAGTCGATTAATACATAATAACTTAGTCGATAAATACAAATCACTTGTATAATTTTATCTACCAGCTCATTCATTTGTCTCTTAAGGCATAAGGATTTCTATGGGCGCTCCGAGTAGTTTGGTGAAGTGTGCATCTTGGGACCAATAAATATAGTGATCAAGTCATTTTAACCTGAAAGAAAACACCTTTGGTTAGGAGGAGGTCCATAACAAACAAGATAAACAAGGGATGACATACATACCCAAAACTGGAGCCCCTTAAAGCCACTGTCACACTTCTTAGCTCAAGCACGCTCGAGTTGCTCGCTCACCACAGTCGGTGAAGGATGTCCCACTTGGAGGCTAAATGTACATAGGCATTCACATCTAACCAATACCTAACGACTGCCCAAAGAAAAAAAGATTCTCTCTCAAAAGTGGGACATGAAAAACAGATGAGCTCATTGCACGTTCCTGCTCAATAAAAGATTGATCTTTGAAATTAGAGTGCAAGAAGTTTGCTCTTTTCAAGTTCAACAAATAAGATATTAGGAAGTCGACTGGCGAGGAGTCCAAGCCATCTGACTTGTCTTCTCCGCCGTCATCGACCCTCTAACTTGGCCATCGTTGAAATCCTACTTGAACAATTCTAATTGTCATTTTTTCAATTGCTATTCATATTTGGAAGAATGAGTCCCCAAATTTATAAGAAATTACAACAATGACAAATTCAATATGACTTTATTAAGAATCAATGAATTTGAATTTTATACCACTTAACATAGTAGTTAATGAGTCCTAGCCATGCTTTAATCGAAAAAGATAGGAGCCATGAAAGCAGACAGTAGGAACTTATATTTGTATCCATCAAAACCCTTTGCATGGGATCATAACAAATCCTAACCATGACAAGGGAGGCAAAACAAGGAACAAACATAAAAAAATCAAAGAATAGAAGTGGAAAATATTTTTAAGAATTTTGAAAAGCTGGATAAGAGACACTTTATTTCTTAAAATTTATTATTACAACGACGCTGACCCTGAATCAACACAGGGGATGAAGTAACCAACATAAAGGTCTGAAGCTGTCTATGTCAAGACATGCCTCAACCTAACCATCATCCTTAACAATAATTCACCCCAACCTAAACTGATCTGACCTATGAGACTCAACTTGGGCTTGAAGAGTTTGAAATTGTTCATGCGAATTTGCAAGTTTCTACTTAAGCAAATATGTTATCTACTTCGTCACCATGATCTTCTCTTCCAATTGCGTCACAAGCTTCAACAATCCTTGAGCCTCTGAGCCTTGCTTGAGATCAATTTCACACGCAGATGAACTCTCAATATCACCCAATTCGTGGGCCAACTCCTTGCAATCCACCCAAATCACTCAAGTCTAATCTTCTTGCACCTCCAAGGGGAGCAAGGGGTTTTCAAGACAGTCGAACACGCCACCCTCAGCGGGTTGACCGCCTTTCTCCGTCACTTGCCTTTCAATCCCTGTTGACGCTACATGAGTCTCACCTAAACTCAGCTAAATCTCGTCATCCGCCACACCCGAGACACTTAGATCAAAAACATAAAAAAAGTAATTGGTTTAAAAAAAAAAAAAACCTTATACACTCATGTTCTTTAGCAATTCATATATCGTCGACTCTTGCATATGAAGTCACAAAAATGAGAGAATACTAACGGTTGTTGAGGGGCAATTTGGTGTTCTACAAAGCATGAGGTTGTGATAATAAGCCGAATCGTTAGGCCTTGGGCCACATCGATTGGTCACATACCAACAGTAACTTGTTGGGTGCTTGAGGTGATTGGTTGTGCTCTAGCAACGATTGTTTGGACAATCTCTTGGACCGTCCCAAAAGAACCTACCTGACACAATGGCGAGACCCTCCTCTTCACTACAACTTTCTTCCTGCGCTCTCATTCTCGGTTTGTTTTATCCTTCTCCTCATCAAACAACCCACCGAGCAAAACCTTGTTCAGAACGGTGGTTTGAGATCCAAATAATTTATCCATCACAAGCTTTCGAGTAGTGCAACCAAAAGAGAATGGAAAAATAACTCATGCCACAAAAGTAACTATTGCAAGAAACAAGAAACAAGTAAATTTGAAAAGACACCCCATCCTATTTATAAGCAATCACTGGCACGGAAGTGAAGGGGAATCAATCATTGGTCAGTTAATTAAAACTAACCATCTATTATACTTCACATATTGTACTTTAATTCTCTTGTTTTTTGATGTTAAACATTGAATGTATATATATATATATATATATTAGAGGATTGTGCACTAAATCAAACGGCCTCAAAGTGGACACGTGCCAACATATCATTCCCGTTCAGGTGAGACAAAATTGTCTGAAACAAAAAGGGCTGAGTGGCGAGAATTAGATGAAAATGAATAAATATAATAGTGGAGGAGCCCAACACGAAAGAGAGGTTTGTTTTATAAAATATATACATGCTACGTTTTATCTTTTAGGCGTGGTTCACGATTAAATGCGAGTTTAATAGATTCAATCAAATAACCCACATCCATTGATCGGTTCGGGATAGTATCAAATCACCTTGAGCCCATTCGTCGGATCCGTTATAAATCTTCCTCCCGCACTCTCGTGGCTGCGTGGCTATTGAATCAGTCCGCCACTGATCATCTCCTCTCTGTCTCTCCGTATCTTCGTATCTCTCTCCCACCAGTTCTTCTCCCATAAAGGGGACCATCTCGCTTCCTCTCTTCGAGCAATCTCATTTGGTACAGATTGGGAATCAGCCCTAAAGATGGAAATCCATATGGCTATTAAGAGTTGTAGTGATCAAAGGCTTCAGACCAAGTACCAGAACGCGACCTACGTGATTCGGAGGGCTTTTGCTCTTTACGAGTAAGCTGATGTTGCTTCGTTTCTCTCTCTCTCACTCCATTCCTCACTGTTGATGGCTTTCGTCTTTGATCGTACGTAGAGGCAGATGAGTTTTTTTGGATGTAGGTGTTACGCGTTCCTGAACTGATGGGCTGAGAAATTATGATGTTTTGTGCTTGTGAGTTCAATATTTTGGATTAGCTTCAGAAAACCTTTTGCCGTACGATTGATTATTTATGTGATCGTTTTCTTTGGTTTAAAGTGGTCGCTTCTTGGAGGAATGAATTTTATGCTTGCTCTCTTGTTAGCTTTAACCATCTACCATGAGATTTTTTTTTTTTAATTAAAACATTATTTTCGTTTGAAATCTTATCCCATTGCCAAATGGGAACTCTTCGTCTTTCTGTGGTTCATGCTGGGCGACCAAATCTTCAGAATACATTGGCGACCATTCAGGAATATGTAGCTTCTTTGCAAGGAACCATTCTTCGGAATACATTTTGTTTAATGTTTAATTCTCCTTATTGACGACTATTTAGGAATATGTTCCTTTTATTTGTTGTTGATAACATCAAGCAATTTCTATCAACTTACCTTTGCCATGCTTTGCTTCTTTTGAATTTTGTTATCTTCAGTGGAATGTTAAAGGGACTGCATTGGTTAAAGATAGCTGGGTGATTAAGGGGTGGAGGGAGGAGAGGTAAAAATAATATGTTTTCATTTTAGAAAATATTATTGTTCAATTGATCTGGATTGTATTTGCTTTGCAATTTAGTTTACAACATATACATATACTATTAATATAAACCAAAATATTGAATAGGTTAATTTTCTAATGGGTTGGTGTGTGATGTTTTGCAAGAGCTGTTTAGACTATTTCTTTGGGCAGGGGGGAAGAAATAATAGAACTAGTTCAAGCAAAGTATCAACTGTGTAGGATTTTGTTATTTATAGGGATAAATTTTGAGTCATATAATGAGATTATGGAAGAGATTAATGGAAAGTGAACTATAAAATTATAAAAAAAAATATTTGGTTTTATGACTGGATGATTTAATATGTTTGTGATTTTTTTGCTAAGGCTATTAATGGAAGTTATAAAGAGCAAAAATATGGATCATTAGTTGTCATCTAGTTTTTTTTTTAACTAATAAGAATATGGACAAGTACTGGAAGGGTTGATTTGTTATGTCAGAAGTATGTTGAAGTTGTTTAGATTTGTATGACAGGGTATTGATTTTAATTAGAAGTAGTTTTGGAGTGGTAATTGTGTTTCTGATCATAACATAACTACATTAAGAATTAACATTAGGTTTGTTTCTTTGTGCTTTTGAAGATGGTCACTGAATATTCAAAATGATGTATTTTATTATATGCTTGTCATGGGCTAAATAGATCTAATCAATGAAACCCCTACAAAAATCAATGAGCAGTTATAACGATGAAGATATTGCTTATAAGATAAGTGGTTTAAGACTAATAGAATGAACGTTCAATATATGATGTGCAATTTAGTGATGCAATATTAAAAATTATCATGTAGCATTTTTAAATGATAAAATGACGCAATGTTTGATAGATTTAAGTATTTTCTGTTTATGTGGAGTAATGATGATATAATTAAGGATACGACTTTTGGATTTAGGACTGAATAGTGAAATTATTGAACTGCTTTTGTATTACTATGAGATAAGATGAGATTTAATGACAAATATTGTAAAATTGAATTTGTCCGCCTATGTTATATGAATTGTTTTTTAATAAAGAAGTCATTGACAACTAAATTCAGCTTGATATAAATGAAAATATAAGATGCATGTGCGCAAAAATTGAAAAAAATAGATTTAAAAGTTCTTATATAGAGGTTGGTGAGAGTTGGTTTTTTTGAAGTCTTGACAGTGGTGTGGTTGTAATTGAGCCGAGCCGATGGATGGACTTGCTTGATAATATTATAAATTATTCTTATTTGGCTTAAGCTAAGCTTTCACATATATGTTTGTAATTATTTAACTTTTAGAGAAACTACCAACATAAATAGTATAAATTATTCTTGTTTGGCTTAAGCTAAGCTTTCACATACATGTTTGTAATTATTTAACTTTTAGAGAGATTACTTACATAGCATTCAATTCTCATATATTTACATATCTAATATCACAAAATTTATTTCATAAATGGCACTTTACTGTCATGATCACATTAAAACTTACGCATGAAAGTTTTTAAAAAACTTAGTTTTAGTGGTGTTATTGAGGTGATGATAATGATTTCAATGTTATATGAGTAAAATCTGCAGTTTAGGTATCAGATATGCAAGTATCTATGAATTTTGCGTAGGTATGTAAGCCCCCCATTAGTTTTTCTATATACAAACTTGGTTTATTTTTGGTTTTCTTAAATTAATTGTTTGAATATTTAAACAAGCTAATAAGTAAACTAAACGTTCAAATAGTATTTGACTTCCCATTTTAATATGTCATTTTATGATTCTATATTAAATTTCTAATTATCTAACTCCAATTAAAAAACATAATAAACAAGTAATGATTTACTTTTCTTGCAATCTTCCAACATAAATAAGTACTGACAAATTTGTTTTTTTGAAATAGACAAATACGAAGTGATTGCATTAAATTTATTGTCTCAACTATCCAACAAAAGTTTATTCTCACACACACATAGATATATATATATATATATATATATATAAGATGATGAGAATCTTTTAAGTTTATTATAAAAAGAAGAAAATTAATTAATGTTTTATATTAGAAATAAAAAAAAAAAACATTTCTAGATATTTGATTGTAATTTTTAATTGAGACTTTGTTAGTTATACCTAATTTAAGGGCAATAAAATCAATATACTTTAAGAGCTCTCTTGCTCTGCGTCGCACTTCTTTCATGAACTTTCTCTTTTTAAATTACTTGTTTTGTTGATCCTTCCTCAAGTGAGATGCTTGTGTTTTTTTTTTTTTAGTTTTCTGTGTCATTGAGGTCTTATGCGTTTTGGGATTTTAGGTAATGATGGAAGGTGAGAATGCGAGGGTTACAAAATAGTTAAGAAGTGGGATTGCTATGAATTATGAAAAATTTATAATTATAATTATAATTATAATTAATTATTTTACTTTCATAAACTTTGATAATTTTTTGAATTATTAATAATAGTATATGGCATCTAGTTTTGCTGATAAAAATATTAAATTTATTAGTAATGTTCTCAACAAATTTGTACATTGACACTCAATATTCTAAAAAAAATGTTAACATAAATAAATAAAACATAGAAAGATATATATTTGAATTAATTAATATAAATATCATATTTATATTAATAAGATATGATAAATAAACATATTTTAATAAAATAAATATAAGATTGGTTGGGCTTCCTAAAAATATTATTTATATTCAATTATAGTTGGTCTGCGAGCTTAATATTAAAATTTTATGATGATATGCTATATTAATTATTAACAAATAGAGTGCTTAGTAATTCACATTTTTATTCATGAATTTTATATTATTTAGCTTGAGCATAATAACTAGAACTCATTGTATATACATTATATAAAAAATTTAAAAATAAGATAATAAATAATAAATAATAAAAATAATTTATTATATTTAATATACTGATTATATTTTATCTAATAAAATTGTTATAAATTTTCTTACTAGCTTACGCCTAATAGTGAATCTTTTTATTTTCAAGTCTAATTTAATTATATATTTATTTTGTCAAATACTCATCTTCCTTAGGTGTGACCATGTGAGTCGCAATCTTGGAGTGATCTTGGGTTGGAGCTATGCTAGCTTGTGGCCCAGCCTAAGCTTGACTTGTTAACTATTTTAGTAGTTGAGCTTAATGAGCCACAAGCTCAGCTTGAGCTCAAATTACAGCTCATATATTAAATGGACAAGTTTTTGATGAAGCTCGACTTGTCGACATGCAAGTTGTCTAAATCTTGGTTTAAGTTTAAACCTAAATCCCATTTCTCGTTTTAAATAAATGCTTAGGCTGAGCCGTTTCAAGTGTCATGCAGAACTAAACTTGTTTTCTTTTTTAAAGAATGTCGCGTCTTTCTCTTTTCTTCAAATTATGCTGGTCTTTTTTTATCCTCATCTAACTAGCTCTAGTGACAGAAGTGTGACTTTGGGTGATCAAATTATTAAAAGGTGTGAACAATTTAGTAGAACTAAAACTGAATACTTGGAATGTAATTTTAGTAGTAGTAGCTCTAGTGACAGAAGTGTGACTTTGGGTGATCAAATTATTAAAAGGCGTGAACGATTTAGATACCTTGGGCCCGTTGCTCAAAACGATGGTGATATAGATGGGTATGTTAATAGTAGAATTCAAGTTGTGTGCTTTGCTTCTGGCCTTTTGTGTGATAAAAAAGTACCACTTAAGCTGAAAGGAAAATTTTATAAGACGGTGGTGGGACCTGCAATGCTCTATGGCGCTGAATGTTGGCCTTTAAAAGAGAAGCATAATAATAAGTTAAGTGTTGCCGAGATGAGAATAATTAGGTGGATGAGTGGCTTTACACTTAGAGACAAAATGCGAAATGAATATATCCGTGATAGGGTTGGTGTAGCTTATGTGACAGACAAAATTAGAGAAAGTCGTCTTAGATGGTTTGGTCGCATTAAACGTCGACCATTTGATGATCCGATTAGGAGAGTAGATGTTTTAGATTCGACTTGTGTTAAGAAAGGCAGAGGTAGACCTAGGAAGACTTGGGCTTATTGTATAAAAAATGATCTTAATTTACTAGAACTAAATGAAAATATGACACTAAATAGGACGCAATGGAGAAAAAAAATTCATGTAGTCGGCCCCACGTAGTGGGATTAAGGCTTTGTTGTTGTTGTGTAGCTAGCTTTAGTTGCGACTTTTACTTTTCTTAAAACGATGATGGCCTCGATAGTTCTTCTCCAACAATCTCTTATCACGACTTTTTTTTTTCGTTGGTTGCTAATCTTATCAATTCTTCTCTAGCAAGCTCTCATCGTGACTTCGTCTTTCTTTAGCTTTTGACATTAATTCTTGTTCTTATCCAACAATTTTGAGCTCAATCTCGAGCTTAAGAATATATGGATGAGCATGGCTTTAGCTCAATATATGATTTTTACTAGAACTCAAGCTTGAGTTTGAGCCAATTTTTTGACTGCTAGTTTGAGCTTTGAGTTAGGGTGCATTTGGGGTGGCTGTTACTTTTTCAAGAAGTAGCTTCTCAGTGTCAAAGTTTTGAGAAAAATAGGCTGAATTCTGAATAAACTTGATGCCTTTTCCCTTTGCTTTCATTTCATTAAATAATAATCTTACAATCCATTTTAGGTACAAAATATTCTGTATATAATCTATTTTATTCTGTATAATCTATTTTAGGTAACTTAATAATACATATTTCTAATCTAAATATTCAGTTAAAAGGGAAATAAATCACAATAAAGATATTAAAAATAATTTAAATAAGAAAGCTCCTAATTATAAAAAAATCCAAATTTAGCTGTCTGATTTCCATTCTTCCTGATTGACACCCCCCCTCAAATTGATGCTGACTGATCAAGAAGCATCAATTTGCCAACAAGAAATTGATAACATTATTAGGACAAAAAAATCTTCAAGCAGTGAGTGCCGAAGTCGAGAATGTCGAAGCCTTAGAAACAACTCCTGAACCATAACATGATTTGAGCGAAGAAAAACAAGAAATCATTTATCATTGTCGTCCAAAAATTCGAATCGTAGCCACAGGAAGGATCTGCTTCCAGTTACACGATTCAAATGCTGCCGATCTTAGCCCACAAATAAGATCCAATTACACGATCCAGATGCTATCGATCATAGCCTACAAGTAGGATTCGTGTTCTGATCCAAATGCAACTGATCATAGCCCATAAATAGGATCCGGTTACACGACTCAGATGCTATCGATCATAGCCTACAAGTAGGATTCGCGTCCTGATCCAAATGCTACCGATCATAGCCCACAAATAGGATCTAGTTACACCATCCAGATTTTATCGATCATAGCCTACAAGTAGGATCCGTGTCCTGATTAAAATACTATCGATCGTAGCCCACAAATAGGATTCAGTTATATGATTCAGATGCCATCGATCATAGCCTATAAGTAGGATCCGCTTCTTGATCCAAATGCTACTGATCATAACCCACAAGTAGGATCCGCGTCCTGTTATATGATCCAAATGCTATGGATTCTTCCTGCGACGACGAGGACAATTTGTTCCCTGATCTTCACGCCAAAAGTGCTAAAGCCGAGATGTCGAAACCATGGGTCTATGAAGGAGTGTCGAAGCCTTCAATCCTTGGGTGCAAAGAAGAAGCCAAAGTCGAAGCGGACGAAGTTGAAGCGGAAGAAGCAGTCGAAGATGTCGCAGAAGCAGCAATGGCTAGTGAAGGAGATCCAAAGCAGACGAAGCGAACAAGATCGCAAATTGCGGATGAGACTTGAATCACATACAAGATAACAAATGGACAGAATCGTAGATCGCAGCTGGAATCAAACGTGGGAGACGAAACCATATGCGAGAGATAGAAGAAGGCGAATCGAAGGCGGACGAAGTTGGCGCAGCGGACAAAAATCCTTAGATGGGCGAATCAAGGCAAAGAAATAGTTCCTCCCTTCCCGCAAGAAGGCCGACAGGAAGGGAGCCTCGACGGTCCTCCGACAACTATCAGTGGTTAGTACAAAAATTTGGCTTTGATATCATGTCAAAGTTTTAAGAAAAATAGGTTGAATTCTGAACAGGCTCAATGTCTTTTCCCTTTGCTTTCGTTTCATTAAATAATAATCTTACAATCTATTTTGTGTACAAAATATTCTGTATAATGTGTTTTAGGTAATTTAATAATACACATCATTCCCTATTTATAAAAGAAGCTAGATTTATTTTAGGTAACAAAAATAAGAAAGGAGAATAAAATATAATCAAAATTTCAGATTTTAGGAAATGATAGGAAAGTGCTAGGAAGAAAAATAAGAAAGGAAGGAAATGAAGAAAAAAAAGAAAGGAGGGAAAAAAATCAGAGGAGGGAAGGGGGAGGAGGGGCGAGGAAGGAGGGAGCGGGGGGTCCCTTGAGGACCAGCTGATCCTCTTCATAGCCCCGCGTCAACTAGACTTTCACTACACCATGGCTACTTTTTGATATCTTTTTCTTTAGCAAATTTTCTCAGTTTACCAAATTCATAGATTAATGATTATATTGTTAGCTGGTTTTTTATCCTAGAGACGTAGAACTCTAAGCTTGTCTTTGTAAGGCAACCTTGTCTTCTCTTTGGAAGATAAAAGGCAGTGCCATTGCCTCGTCTTCCATAGTAAGGTGGGGCTCAATTTTCTAAAATTTTATTTCCACTATCAAATTTGAATTTAATATTTCGTAGCTAGTTAAAAATGAACGAGATGCTCCCAAAATATGTTGGCGAATTTCTTTTCATGGAAAAGAGTGAATTCAGTGTGAATCCATATTAATTGTTGTTTTTAGCGGACAAAGAATTTAGGCATTTATTTGACAAATGGAAAGTTGTAATTTTTTAATATCTTTACTCACACATGGAACTAAAAGGACACATTTTCATGATGGGTAAGGATTCCATTCACGTGAAATTTCACAATTGGTAGTTAAGAGAACTGCAAGAACTGCAGATAAGTTTCGTTGACTCACTACAGATATTTATATCTATTTAAATTGTGGAAATGAACTACTAAGTACTCCCAATAAATCGTGTCACACTTTACTGTATTGTGTATGCTTACAAAATTCACTCAACCATCAATGTGGCCATGCAATTTTAAACTGTTTCCTGCACTCATAACACTGGGGCGATAATCCTTAATTTTGGGTAAACTGGGGTACTTTTTGTCCACCTTTACTGGTACAGCTACCAATGACTTCAAAAGCTATAATTGCAAAATGACTTGGAAAACTATTTTTGATCTTTTAAATAAGAATGAAGACCTTTTCCGCACATTATTTCAGTAAGATTATTTTTGAAAGCTAAAGATATAAATTCCTTAAAATTTTCTCATAGTATGCTACCATCAATTACCTACTTTGAAACTCCTCAAATGGAGAGTATTTAAGAATCACTTTACTGTTATCTTTGTCAATCTACTTTTTTAATCGGTTGGTTAGTTGCTAATTTAAAGTTGGATAAGATTATCTTTATAGAGTTGATTTAACAAGTTTGCTTTTGACCATTGACAAATATCTCTGTGCAGGTTTCAACAGGTTGCATTCAGTTTTAATGGCGGGAAAGACTCAACTGTAATTGCCTCCTGTTATTGTGTCATATTTCTGATATACTGTATACGATATAACTTTATGGACTGAATTACTGATCATGGAATGGGATCTGCAGGTTTTACTGCATTTACTACGTGCTGGATATTTTTTGTATCAGGAAGAAATGAGTAGTTTCAATGGAAAAATGGATTCTGTGCTAAAGTGTCCAATAAGAACTATATACTTCGAGACTACTTCTGCTTTCCCTGAAATTAATTCATTCACTTATGAGACGGCCGCTCTGTAGGAATTGTCTTTCCCATTTTATTTACTATGTTTTAAGTCAAGTTAATGTTTTGAATTCACTTTGAGTGATTCAGTTCACAAAATTGCTTTCTCTGTTTGTTTATTTTTCTTCATTTTATTTACCTATATTTGATGTTTCACCCATTTTTGACAGATATGATTTACAATTGGAGATTATTCGCCTTGATTTTAAGTCTGGACTAGAGGCTTTACTTAAGGAAAAACCTACAAAAGCTATATTCCTGGGTACCCGAATTGGTGATCCAAATGCTGTATGTCATTCTTTTTTAACCGTAGTGCCTGCAACAGGATGTTAATCCTTAGAACGAAATATAATTTTTTGGGGCATTTACATACATATCACCCAATTTCCATGTATTTACATATATAACACCTAAACTTTACTTTTTGCATTTATACTACCAAAATCTTTCAAAGCACATAAAAAACACCACTAATTTGACTTTTAAAAAGTGAGTTGCATCTTTGCATGGATAGGTAAGGTGGCATATGTAAAAATTGAAGTTTAGGTGTTGTAACTACCCAGGAACTGAGTGGTATGTAGGTAAATCTTCCTAATTTTTTTAAGGTTTATTCATATGCGTGGATTGTAGTTTATGCAACTTGCTGCACATGCAGATCGGCCAAGAGCAGTTTTCTCCAAGCTCAACTGGATGGCCTCCTTTTATGAGGGTGAATCCTATCCTTGATTGGTCATACAGGTATTTTATTGGTTATTATTTGTCTTTTTGTTTGATTTAGTTTTATTTCTGTATTTTTCTATTGAAGCACATGATGTACATTCTCTCTCTTTCCCCCTTCTCTGCAGAGATGTTTGGGCTTTCATCCTGGCCTGCAAGGTTCCATATTGCAGTCTATATGATGAAGGGTAAAATGTTTTATTGTATGCTCCCATGTTCTAGCTTCATTTTTTATTCCTGCACTTATTTTCTATGATGATTCAATGCAAGCAAGGAATTAAAAGAAATGATAATTACATACATAGCATTTGAAACATTGTTATTTACAAAACTAGCCTTGGGTGATTTTTGGAACCACCCAACCGATGCATTTGTGCATGGTAAAATCCAACCATTGAGAACATGATAAAAATGAAAACTTTGGGTTAGATTTTATCGTGAATTTTACTATTTGAGTGAGAATTTCGAAAATTCATGAAAGTAGGGTGCTAGTTTTGTAAAATTATTAACCTGTAGAATTTATGGAAACAACAAAAATTTTATCCCATTAAGTCATTAAAAGGAATAAGTGTATGTGCCGTGTAAATTTACAAAATAACAAAAACAGCTTATACATAGATAACGTCACTTATGCAATAGAAATCAAGTAATTAAGGTGAATAATTTCACAATTTATAAATTTTTTATTTGCATTATTTATGAAATAAATAATAGTTTATGATGTTTTTCTGTATTCATTATTTAAAAACGAGGAAAATAAAACTAATCACTTTTCAATTGGCTCCATATTGTAGCTTTAATAGTCATTTGTTTACTACATAGTTTATTTTTAAAATATAAATTATTTCATTATTTTTATCATAAATGATTTCAAATTTAAATATGATAAATCACTTGCAATCATTCAATATAATAACTTTGCTATATTATAAAACGTATTTACTATAGTTATTATGTTTATAAGTTATCACTTGTTATGTTGGTATTCAGTAAAAGTATATTTAGTAATCATGTAATATATTTGATAAATATATGTTCTAGAATGTATCTATCTAAATATTATTTTTTCAATAAATAAAAGGTATTTATCATATTATTAATTTTACATTGAAAGTGTTTGCCTCTCTTCTCACTCTTTGTTTAACTAGATATATGATAATAAATTTGTTAGTTATAAATTTATAAAAAAAATATGGTATATTAGAATTTTAAGCAAACTCTCTTCTATTTTTCACCACAATCAGGTAATGAGTTAGCACATTGTTTCTTTGCAATGTCCTAGCAATAGCGAATTTTAAATTTATATTCATTTCTTGTTCTGAGATCCCAAGTCTTCTCGTTGGAGTTTGGGACCAATGATGACAGTTTTTAATGAAAATCTTAAAATTTTTGTCTGATTAGTATCTTTTTTAATTGTTTTTTTAAGAGATTTTGTTCCTATTTGCGGATCTAGTTTGCTTAGATTCCTTCCCGTAGGGATGAAAATATTATCCTAAGGCTTCTTTTTATATCTGTGTTGCAAAGTAAACTTGGACTACCTATGCTTACATTGATTGTGACAAAATGAGTGTTCTGTTTTGTTTAGATCATTGCGTTAATCCTCTTAGTATATTATTGCTGTTATGCGGCAACCATTTTTATTTTTCTGGTACAAATGATGATGGAGATGATAGTTGAAAATAAAACCAGAAATTGAAGAGAAAATTTTATTTCTTCTTAATGATTCAATTCAAGGTGCATTTACATATAGGAGTCTCTCCTTCTTAGATAAGGAAACTAACTAAATAAATTCAAAGAAATTCCTATTACATTCTAAGACTAATTAAACAAGATAAAAAATAAGGAAGGAGAATAATATCTGTAGAAAAAGAAAGACAATAAATATTGTAATTTGAATTTTTGAATTTTGAGTTTGATCCTTTAACACTCCCCCTCAAGTTGGCATGAAGATATCTTTCAGAGCCAGCTTGCATACTAAACCGTCAAACTGTTTTTTGTGAATAACCTTTGTTAGAATATCCGCTGCTTGGTCGTTGGAAGGAACATACACCATGCAGATATCTCCTCTGTCAATTTTTTCTTTGATGAAGTGTTTGTCTATCTCTACGTGCTTTGTTCTATCATGAAGGACAGAATTGTGGGCGATGGCGATGACATACTTATTATCACAGTACACCTTTATTGGTGGTGGACTATGAATTTTTAACTCTGTGAGAAGTCTTTTAATCCATAGAACTTCACATATCCCATGAGTCACAGATCTGAATTCAGCTTCAGCGCTGCTTCTTGCCACGACACTTTGCTTCTTGCTCCTCCAGGTTACTAAGTTCCCTCCTAAAAACGTGCAGTACCCTGAGGTTGATCTTCTATCTGTAACACTTCCAGCCCAATCTGCATCTGTAAATGCTTCTACCTGTAAGTGCTCTTTTTTCTTGAACAATAGTCCTCTTCCGGGTGTTCCTTTCAGATACCTAAGGATCCGATAGACAACCTCCAAGTGATGAGTATTTGGGGAATGTATAAACTGACTTACCATGCTAACAACAAATGTTATATCAGGACAAGTGTGTGACAAGTAAATTAGTCTTCCCACCAGTCCCTGATATTGTTTTTTATTGACACCATCTACTTTATTTGTCACTTGTAACTTTTATTTGATTCAATCAGAGTTTCAGCTATTTTGCACCCAAGCATTCCGGTTTCACTGAGTAAGTCGAGTACATACTTTCGCTGATTAATAAAGATCCCCTCCTTAGATCTGACAAACTCAATACCAAGAAAGTATTTTACATCTTCCAGATTTTTAATCTTGAATTCTGTGGTCAATCTTTCTTTTAATTTCTCAATTTCTCTAGCATCATCTCCTGTAAGGATAATATCATCTACATAGACAATGAGTATAGCGAGTTTACCAGTTTCTGAATGTTTGTAGAACATAGTATGATCAGCTTGATTTTGAGTGTATCCATATGTTGTAATCACCTTTCCAAACCTCTCAAACCAGGCGCGAGGAGATTGTTTGAGCCCATACAAGGATTTCTTTAATCTGCACACTTTGTCTTCTCCAAACTTCTTCTCAAATCCTGGTGGAAGATTCATGAATACCTTTTCCTCTAATTCACCGTTTACAAAAACATTTTTGACGTCGAGCTGATACAGGGGCCAATTACGGTTTGCTGCTATGGACAGTAAAATCCGAATAGAATTGATCTTGGCTACCGGAGCGAATGTCTCATGATAGTATGTCTAATGATGGTCAATTCCATGAGTTGGAGTGAATCCTTTCGCTACTAATCTTGCTTTATATCTTTCGATACTCCAATCAGCTTTGACTTTAGTAGTAAAGACCCATTTACAATTGATTACCCAACAGTAGACTTGTTTCTTGGCAGAGTGACAATTTCCCAGGTCTCATTTTTCAAAAGAGCATCAATCTCTTCCTTTACTGCTATTCTCCAATTTGGATTACTAAGAGCTTCCTGTATTGTTCTAGGTTCAGACAAATTTGAAATTTTTGACAAAAAAGTTTGATGTTTGTGTGAGATTTTTTTGTAGGATAGGTATTTCGAAATGGGATATTTGGTAGTACAAGAACATGTTCCTTTTCTAAAGGCTATAGTAAGATCCAAGTTCATAATCTCTGAATCTTGAGCTTCTGTTGGTGAAAAAATAAGA